AGACTTCTTCCACTTCTCCAACCAAACTCAATGCCATCTTGTGTCCCGCTTCTTGTGTTGGCTGTGTAACGGGCATGAAGCCTCTCCCATCAATCGTACGTGGCTGATACCCAAGGACATGGCGACACTGCGCCCACGTGCTTACTCGGCACCGAGATCAAATAGCCCATTATCCCGAAGTCTGGGCTATTTCCAAAGTAGGAGGTAAGGTGTGAACAGCTGCGACGTCAGACAACGAGGGAGGACTGCGAGACTCTGCTCTGCTTTGCGCATCAGTATTCCTGCGATGAAGTTAGAGGAGAAAGTGATAAAGTGTTAAAGGGCTGTTCTCGGTATCCCCCGGCGCAGGACACAAGCCGGATCTCCCAACGAGATGCATATAGTGAAGCTGTCAGAAGGGCCCCCCTAGAAACGTGCGGTGAGGAAGACGGAACGTGGTCATATGCCCGCGAGAAAAAGTGCCTTGTGAAGTCACAGGTAAACAAGCCGATATCAGTAATAGAATGACGGTAGCTTTCTGTCGGGTCAAGGTCGAAGACACAAAGGTTGCGACGAACCTAAAGGCCTACGTTCGATGCTCCCATGCCCTCGGATAGATGCCGACATAGACTCGGTAGGTGAAATTCGTCGCCCCAGGGGCGATCCAAGATTCATACTTACCCAGCATCAAAGCTGAAGCCACCACTCGCAGCCTTAGGGGCCCTGATCGTGTGTCCTGGGCTTCACGTTCGCCCCATGTCTATCCCTCTTCCCCATTACAGGCTCGCACTATCCCATCCTGTTGTTGGATACCTACACCTATCCAAAGGGCTCCAGCCACTGGTCCAAGTCCAAACTTTCGGGCAAAGCCAAAAAGGCAAACTATAAAAAAGAATTTAAAATAAAAAAAAATTGTATAAACCGACGTTCCCTGAAAGTGCCCTCTGCCGCTCCTCAGTGCTCATTGGCTACTTGGTGGCCTAGAACATCTTCCCGTCCACCCCTCCCGCGGCACGCTTCCAGTTTGTGCGACTAAGGTTTCCCTTTTTCTTTTATAATCTGGTAAAACCTATACGGCCCCCGTGACCCTCCGGAGAAGTCGGTCGATGCAAAAAGGGTGTTTGCCCCTCTCCGCAAGGCTTTCTAGGTGCCGTTGTCCGCCTCGGCGTGAACAGCAGCTCGCGAAGCGCGACTTGGCCTGTTGACGTGACGAACTCGATGTTTCGACCTTGCTCATGATCCACGCCTGCCTAGTCACCTGTTTTTTTTTTCTCCCTGAAATTACGGTTCCACTTGTTTGCAGATCAGAGCCAACATGTTCCGTTGGTCGTCATCGCTGGGCATCGGAGGGGTTGAGGGTAGGATATGGGAGACCGGCCCGGGTTGTTGTACAATCCCCACGAACCAACAGTCAATGAATGGATTTTTTTTCCACTTAAAATTCCCCGGAGATGATAACCAGAACAAGAGGTACCTTTATTAGTTATTCAATACTGCATTTTAAACCAGGAATGAGGAAACGGACATACTAGCTGTGGATATTGGGACTGTCCTTTCATCCACGTAGCTAGCTTGGTTTTGCCACTATAAATAGGCAACTTCCTCTCCTCTTTCTCTAAGCAAAATACATACTCCACCCGTGGGAACCTCTCCCAACTTTCTGCAGCTTGGGAAAAGCCCAGAAGGTTGTCTAGGCGGCGCAAACCAGCGTCTATCAGTCTACCAAGCGTGATAAGCTATGCCTGAGTTCACAGTTTTAACCTCGGACATCCCGTTGCCTAACGGGGGTGCGCTCTTGTTCTGAAAACGCCGGCTCAAACGTGGGCCAATATCAGCACAGCCGTGGCGTCCCTCCGGAAAGGGCACCTTCGCAAAATAAACCTGCAGGCCATTTGATTTTTCGGATTGACTCCTCTGCAATTACGGGCAGTCGTGAGAATGCTACTCCGGGTCGAAATCAACGGCCGTGTTGAGCAAGATCGATAAGCTGGACTGATTCAGGGCCAACCTTCCAACTTCCGTCGCTCTAAGAGACACACTGCCGCTTGTTGAGCAACGAATAAGCCTATCATTAGAATGTGTTATGCTGTATCTCCGCCAGGCAAATTGATTACACAAAATCATGGTAGAGGGCACTGGTGGGCGAGCTTGGATGCTGGGAGCACCAAATAGCCTCAGTACTACCAAGTCGGAAAGCCAAGGCCGCTTAGCCGGCGACTGTTTGTGATCCCGGCAGCTGATATGTGTGCTTCGGGCTCGCTCTGATGCCGCTTGGGTTTCAAAGCCTGTGTAGGTAGCTTTGTCCCCGTTATGCTCCAGTACTCTAGTGCTGGAAGCAACAGGAGCCCGTCTGTCCCGAAGATTGATGATAGAGCAATATGCAAGCCGGAAAGTTTAATAGTGTCGAGAGAGAAAAGGGGGGGGCGGGGGGGAGATAAGCCTGTCTCCAACACGAACCCAGTATTCGGTGGTGGGCGAGTATGCCAAGAAGTTGCTCAATGTGTGCCAGGTGGCCGATGCTCTTTGCTTACGGACCTGTGATGGAGATGGGATTGCTCGCCCCGCCAAAGCCACCACAACTTGCTGGGGAGATTCTCTGGCTGTGAAGTTCGCTCGGGTCCAGCGATGGTCTGCGTTCGAAGGCTCCTCACGCAGGCCCCTATAATACCCTGACCCGACGGTGAAAATGGTATAGTTAGCCTGAGGCCTTGGGGTAGATGGTGATTGTACGTATGTGTGTCGTGTCTATTGGGACAGGCGCTTGACCTCGACAAGTGGCCACACAAGAGGTGATCCAACGCATCGCGGGGACACCCACGGTCTGTAGCGTCCTTCTCGAGCCCTTGTCACCCTCCTTTCCCACCACTGACCCTGGTCATCTACTCGTCAGCATTGCTAACCGGTCGCTTCAAGGGTGTTGGGGATGGCTCTCCGGCTCAGTTCTGCATCTAGGGCGGCCTCTGTCACTTACTTTACCCCTTAGATGGGCTACCGAGGGGAGGGCTCTGTTCTGTACTGGTTGGTCAAAGGGTACAGAAGCAGCCACGGGCTCGAGAAATAAAATTTAGGGCATGGGGTCTCCCCAAGTCCGCTGCGCCGCTTAGATGGCGCAGTAGTGGTAGTTTGTGTGCTCAATGACTCACTTAAGAATCCTTTGCCGCTGCTTTGGGCTCGTCGTCAAGATGTGTACATTCCCGTGTTCTTGCTTTCCCCACGCGCCCTTCAGTCATTTACGTGGTGTTTGAATTACCAACGTATGTATCCCGGACGCCTGGCGGTTGTTGAACCGGCACCGGGCAAGTCCAACCGGTGGCAACTTTCAGCGGGGCTGCTGCAGCAGAAGTTCTTCATTTTGTGCTCTTGATGTCAACCGCGACTGAGCATGCGACCAGGGGTCTGGGGAACATGGGCCATACACATCTGGATAAACTACATAGTACGGATAGGTGGACGGACCATGGAGCGGAGATGACTCCGCCATTCCGAACCGGGTGGCGGACGTCAGCGGCTTGTCTCGGCAGCCCCCAGTCTAGGTATTTCGCCAAGTTCTGTCCCCCAGCTTGAGGCAAATTTCGGGCTTGCAGCCCGGACAAGTCCGGCGATGAAGGATCTGGATGTGCGGGTTTTACTCCTTATACCAAGTGTGTCTGGACTGAGTTGGCATGGCGGCTTACGGCAATTTACGGGGGAAAAGTCTACGTCACGGTGAACTTGACCGAACGATAAGGTATACTCAGTGCTTATACATATCCAATACAAAAGATAAACAATTAATTATAAGCGTCAATAGCCTATAGTCAACTTTAATTAATCTGTAGGAGAATTTCAGTTAAGCTGATGCTTAGATAATTGCTGAACAATAGGTAGACTGATGGTATCTACGGTAGTGGGCTTTAAAGTGTGCGTGTTTTTCGTGTTTTTTTCTGTAACCCGCGTGTTTGGATGGATGGCTGTCAGAGACAAACATCCATTTGCTGACCTCCCTCAAGGATCCCTCCCAGGCATCTCTTTGCCGCCGACCCTCAACGAATTTTGTTGGGCTCAATTCAGAGCCTTCGAACCAGGCAAAGGCAGCTGCAAGTGAACTAGGTGCCGACGTATCAAACATGCGTCCTGATGTTCGGGTGACGAATAGCGTAAGGCGGATGACATCAGGCCAAAACTCAAATCAAGGTGGAGATGAACAGTCAACTGACAGGAGGACTCACGGCAGGGCGAAATCGAGGTGACCATTGTCAATGAAGGGTGGCCGTGACAGGTGCCACGATTACCCCGTCACGTACCCATGTCAGACACGGTCAGCAGAGCCAAGGAGCTCGACCGGGCGCTCTGCTTACTGTCCCGCGGCCCCTGTCTAAGGTCACAGAAGAGAATGGCCACCCTGCTGCTGGTTTGTGAATCCGTGCTGGTATTCGAGGTGCATTTCACTGTGTGGGTTTCTTCCAAACATGGATGCTTTGGCGGCTGGTACCGATGTCACTACCGTGCCTTTCAAAGTATGGATGAGCCAACAGGATTTACCAGCTGGGGGCTGACATGAACTTAACCAAGCGCTCAACGTGAGGAGATGGATGTCGTGAACGGATTGTCAGACTTCACCGCCTAGGAGATCGATCGAGCGGCTCCACGGCCTCCTGAGATCGCTTATAGAGTCTGCAGATTGCAACATGCCGCATCTAGGCCCGGAAGAGGAGTCGTTGACCGTGTGGCATTACATACGAGTGCCTCTCTCCTCAAACCTTTCGCCAGACATCCTTATATCTCGCCCATTCCCGGAAGCCTGTATGGCAGAATTAGAAAACTGAGCACAACTTGTTAGCTTGGCACTTACCCAGGGACCGAAACCCTGCATCTCCTCCCCTGACGCCATCAATGAACATCTGCCGCATGCCTTGCTCGGCTAGCAGCTTGACACACGTGCCGAGCAACCTGATCATGACCGAGTCTCGGCTGTTCACCATCTCGGGATGATCATCTGAGTTGAGGTGAGCGAACAGAACCCCCAAAGTCTCCCAGCGTAGTCACGAACCTGTGATGCAAATGCATGTCACCCCCCCAACATCGGGCCCAATGGCCTTCGCCCATGGGATGTCGTTGTCTGCTGGACTCCCAGAGTTGGGAGTGTAGGTCAAAGCAATGACCACGATGGTGTCGCCTTCTAGGCCAAGGATGATATCCTCTATGTGTGGCGTGCCATCCAGTGTATAGTACTGGTCGTACCACCCCATGTTATCCTTGCGGGCCGCATCTCGGCTCACGATGTCCAAAACCTGGTGATACTCAACCATGCCGCATCGCCTGAACGTCAGTCCAGCTGACGAGAAGGTCTTCACCGGCATATCATCAAACTTGAGGAGCCAATCTGAAACCCCTAGCCCTTGGCCAGGCTGAACGCCGTTCATCTGCCAACCCCGACGCGAAAACCAGTCTACCGAGAAGGAGTCGTAGGGAACACCATAAAGAAGGCGCGGAAAGGCTGAGCCGAGTTGCAGTCTATTCACGCCGCGGGTCCTCTGCAGCTGTTTGAGCGCGTGGTCATGAAGACTAAGCCCAACCCCACGCCCTCGATACGAGTTTTTGACCATCAGGATGGCCAGTGAACCGAGCAGATTATCCTGGCCTCCGTCGGGATACGTGGTGTATGTAGCGCAAAAGCCGATTATCTGCTTATTCTCGGGTTCGCGGACAACGTAATGCCTGGAAAAGCCATCTCGTTGGAGGAGAAGGACAAGTGCATACTGCGGGAGGTGATATTTGGGCGGAAGACATTCTGTCCAAAGCTGGTGGATTGGTGCCATGTCGATACCGCAAACCTCAACCGGCCATACTTGTGGCGTAATGACAAGATTCTGCAAGGGAACCGCGTGTCCCATGGAAGGTCGAGCATCCCCAAAAATCACCGACGCGGCCATCTCGAGTTCCGACGGTAAATAGCCTTGAATTTGCACAATTGTGGCAAAATGATCAACATGCAGGTTGTAGGCTTGTAGGTTGCAGCATGCGACTATGATTTGAGGGCGCTCGTCTGCCATTGTCCTGGCAGCATCGGCCAAGTCGATTTGCGAGACATCGTCGCCTACAGGGGCCCCTGATATGACAAAGATGATGGCTTTGGCTCTCTTGATGAATTCAAAGTGAATACTGGTAATGCCCCCTCGCTTCGTGTACGGGACGTGTCGGACTAATGGGTGCCTCGAAGCAATGGCACGGCCCAATGGTTCGAATGGGTCCTTGTCGTTGTCTGCGAGTCTGTTGTGAGGCACGACAACAGGCGTGAGAAGGACGATGATGTCGTCTTCGGAAAGTATCTTTCTCAAGGGGATGCAGTATTGCCGGTCCCACAACAACATGGCTGAAAGGTTTTGCTTGGGGTTTGTGTTATTTCTGAACGTAGCATGGCGGTCGATCCGCATTTCCGATGAATATCTCAGGACAGCAATATAAGAGCGCGGCACCTCTCGGTTCATTCCTATCCAAAGTTAGTGCGTGGCTGCACGAACCAGTGTTGTGCTAGTTAAGTAAGCTTTATATCGGGACCAAAGGCTTCGATTCTTACCAGGGGAGGAATAAGCCCATACATGCAGTGGTAGGACGAATTCAAAGCCACCCTTTCTGCTCAGGCCCGCCTGAACAGATGATAGCAACCCCGTAGAGGAGAGCCGTGACCACTCAGCGATTTAGCAATATACTGGATTTTTCACTTCATGAGAGATGATGCTGCCGATAGGAAGTACGGGCGAGGTGATGAGCATGAACCAGATGAAGGGTTGCCAGTCGTTTGGCGTCAGACAAGGTTCACTATAGAAACCCCAGATTTGACGTAATTCGGTGTGTTGCGGTTGAGCGAAGCTGTAACAGCGGTCAAGACGGATATAAGTGCCGTTCACTGTCCGGTATGTAAGGTGCAAAGTCTTGGACCGTTTTCAATGAACACAGTAAATGGAAAGATTGCTGTAGATACAACATTGGCCGGACTACGGTAGGGTAAGCCTGGAGGGGATAGTAAGACTAAATGTTAGCAGGCGCATTTCCAGAGAGCAGCAAGACAGGTTGCACATACTATGACCGGTTAGTAGCAGGCGGGAGTGTCAAAGGTGGTGGGTTCGACACAGATCTTTATCCTGATAGGTGTGGGAGGGAATACATCAGGGCAGCAGCAAAGGAGTGGGGGTATGTGTGTGTGTGTGGCAGAGGCGACCGGCTAAGCGGACAGGGCCAACCAGCTAGCCTGCCAGGTTGGATGGAACACGGACACAAATGAGCAGAGGGGAGAGAGGGAGATAAAAATCTTGAATGAAGGGGATCTGCATGGGGGCATCATTGGCGGGATGCATAACTTGAGTATGCCGAACTTGAGCAAAGGTGTATGTAAGAGTGAGTGAGGTAGTACAAGAGGTGATCGGAAGACGAACAGCGAGCGGCTAATCTCCAAGGACCGCCACGCCTCTCACCGTATGTGGTGGGTCTTGGTGGGAGCGATTAATCAAATCAAGAGCCCCGCGGTTCCTGGTCTGGTCTGGGGCACATCCGTCTGACTGATGCGATGGCAGATTGGCCGTAGGTGTGTGTGTGTGTGTGTGTGTGTGTGTGTGTGTGTGTATGTACCCATGGAATGAGAAATGGTGGGCGGGAAGGATGGATGGATCCCGATGTAACCGACGCGTTACGGAGCGGCAATATCTCCGTCGTCCTAGCTTTGGAAGCTGGGGAGGGGAATCGGCAAACGATGAAAAAGACGGACTTTTACATCAATACTATGCTGACCACCTGGGGAGTCATGCACTTGCGACTAGAAAACACGAGAAGTGGAGGCACGAGGTTACACAACGCTTCTGCAGACGAAATTGGCGTCAGAATCCGCCGGCGTAGAGGTGCCTCAGTATCCCTAGCTAGCTAGGTAAGGTGAGGTAAGACGGGTAAGCAGACGCAGACACCGCCAGACGGCGGCCGACGTGTGACAGAGAGCCAAGGCTATGACAGACGACACGACGCAGTCAAGACTTAGTAGCGGCCCGAGAAAAACCCCCACGGCAGAGAGAGAAGATTGCTTCGTTGGCCAGGGTCAGGGCCAGGGCCATGGCTCAGGAGGCGGGGATTGAAGAGTGCGTCCGAGTACCAAGTTGCGACGACAGCCTCCGATACCTTTGGGGTGTGGTCATGCGAAGTGGTCACTCGAAGCGCGCTTCTGGATTCCGTGACACCGTCTAATCATCCATGACCACGGTCCTGGGGCCACTCAACCAACAATGGGCCGGGGTAGGCCCGCCAAAAACCAAGAGGAGAGGAGAAACAGGCTTGAGGGCTAAGATTATGCTTGCCGGGGCCAGAAAAATAGGGTTTGCCGGGAGTATCGTACTGGTGAAATGAGGAAGGAGCAACAAGCGATAGTGTATCCGTGCAACAAGGGTAAATAAACATCAAGGCTCGCCCAGCTCGTCGTCATCCGTCGTCTTGACTGGAGAAACACCGGGCCGTGATGGGTGATGATGTGTGATAGGAAAAGGAGAATGGCGCATGACGGCCGTTTGTTGATTTGGTAAACGGGGTGGACTAGATAGACATCCAGCAGCAACATGGCCTCGGGCACAGGTGAGTGAGGTGGAGCTGGCGGCAACGTCAGTGATGGATAGTGAAAATACAGTTCGGGTACGGATGGATGCTGACGAGACGACGACGACGACGACGACACCTTCCTCGATGGACAAACAGTCGTGTAAGTAAGCTGTAGGGTGAGGAGAAGCACGGATGACGTCCCGCAGCTGTAGGTGGAGGTTGGATGAAGTGTCGGGTTGATGTGATGGGTCAAGGAGGGGGCCGAAGGATTCTGACGAGGCATTAGTTAGCCAGCTTGTGGAACAACAAGCAAGCAAATATGGCGAGAAAAAAGCAGGTGAGCCGCCTAGCGTCTCGGTCAGCCAGGCCGACCAATCCCAACAATGGTGAGGTTGTGTGTGGTGCAGTGAAGTTTCGGGACGATCATGTCGACAAGACAAGACTGAGAACTGGTCGCGGAACGGGCCCTGCGGGATGGGATACATACAGCAGTAGGTATGCCTGGTACCTACGTACCTACGTACGTACGTACGGTAATACCAGATACCTACGCACCTACGGTGGTGGGTGGGCAGGCACACCACACGCGCGCTTGACTCAAACAACGTCTGTCTGTACTTCCATAGGTACCTTGTTTCTACCCTACCTAAGCTTACCTATCTACCTATCTACCTTCCTAGGTAGGTAGATAGGCTCCAAGTTCTTCTTAAGCATCGAACCAGCAGGTAGTGTACGGCAAGACATTGAATACTTCTGTTTTTAGCTGCCTCTACCAAGTACCCAACCAAGTACAGGTACCTACCTACCTACCTACGTGCTTGCTTACTTTCCATCTGGGGTTCCACTTTTATCCTGGCCTCTGTCATTACAATTGCGCTTTGTGTAACCCCAAATGAGACGATGAATGACACCTTCCTTCCGCTTTTGTTGTTGCCGTATGCTCGCTCTTGCATTTTGTCCATGTTCATGTTAGATGGGTAGTTAAGAAGAAGAGGTAGAAGGGGGAGAAGACTACGAACAGGCAGGCTAACTACCAGGTACTTTACCACACCTCCAAATTACTGCTGCAGCTCACCTCTCACATGAGCTCATTCTTCTTTCGACAACAAACCAATTCCCGGCCTTGGAACATCAACCCGGCTACACTAGTGTCGACGACTTATTGAGCTTACCATGGCGGCCAAGTCGTCATACGCGCTTCCCACGGCCTGGACGTTTGCCACACTTTCGTCTCTGCAGTCCCAAGTCTGAATGTCATATCTGATAGTCGACGTCAGCCAAGTCTTCTTGCAACATGAACCGCAATGGCCAAACCCTCGGATCTTCAAACGACTTGACTCCAACCGCTGGCCGTGGTTCCAACTACCCACCAAACCAACAACATGGTAATGCACTCAAGGGGCTCGTCTCGCTTCGCCTATTCGCTGACTGAGACCCATCTGCCAATACTTCCCTCTTCCGAGATAACCCCGCACATATACACAGGTACCATGTATACTGCGAGGGCAGGTAATTACTTACCGATGCTGCTCTGGTTCTTGCAGCAGCTGCACGAATCGAGCGAATCACATGGTTGCGAACCTACCAATATACATCGTACGGATACTCCATCCTGGGTCTGTAAAGGTATTGAAATGTGGAGCAACAACCCCCCCTCCCCGGCCGTTTCCACCAAGGGATGACAAGCCGATGAGGGCCGTGCACGGTCCCTCTTTTCCCGGTCTGAACGCGCTCACCTTGGTCTTGACCCCCCCTGACGCGTCTGTCCGGTTCGGCATCATTGTCGTTGTAGGGGCATCACGACACTGCGCCCCGCCTGCAGCCTCAAACGTTCTGAGCCGACTACAAGGCCACTAGAGAGCCTTCGTATCCTTGGCTCCACGAGCGCCCGCCGGCCACAATGGCTTCACCCACTGGCGATATGTCTGTGGATGAAGGCATTGAGAACATTCATCGTTTGGTTGAGGATGTCATCGAGGGTGAGTTGCGAATCGTGGCATTTCTAGCACACAATCATACTGACACATCTTTCAGCCTCCAAGCTACCAGCCAAACGGCGAGCTACCAGCATTAAGCCTACCGTCGAGACAATCGCCACCTTCGCCTATGACAAAGGGCTGTTGCCCGAGCCCCTGAGCGAACTCATCGACCTGCTGACACGGCCCAGCCACCTTGACCAGGCAAGCCTGAACGCATTGGTGAAGAATCTGTTTCCCGCGACTCGCCTGTCCAGGCATGTCATTTTGAGGGTAGTTGGGTGCCTGGGGCACGGTGAGCTGAAGCCGTCACTGGCCCTGCAATCCAACATCCTCAAATGGTTGATCATGGCTTATCATGTTATCGAGAAGCCGGTTGTCTTGTCGCAAGCATACGCTGTACTGTTCAATCTGCTCGACACGGCTGCTATTCGGTCAGAAATTCCCGCCTACTGCGCAAAGAAGGAGGCTAACGCGGGCCAGGCCGCAACTGTGTCATTTGCTTGCCCTGATAACGCGCCGGAAACACGTCCGGCCCTTCAGGATTCAAGCATTGTAAGTGACGTCCTATCCACACAGCCAGTTCGCTTGATGCTAACCCTACCTTTCAGACTAAATCTCTCCAGGAACACGGGCAATGATCCAGCCTTGACAGGGCTCCTGCGGGTCTACAAAGATTACTATCCCGAAATCATTGTCAGCGATGCACTGCGAGGCAGGGCATCGGTCTTCAAGGTAGGAAGCAACACGCGCCCGAGGAAACTCGTCTGACCTTTGCAGCATCCCGATACGGAATGGAGGGAGAGGCTTGACCAGATCCAAAGAGATCACTCGCAGCGTGCTGCTGAGGCTGCCGGCCAACCTCGAAATGGCTTCAGTGTCAACCACCTGGCTCTGAAGGTGCGGGGAGGCAAGGCATATAATCTTCCGTCCGTCCATACTTCAGAGGCTACCGAGGTGAGAATGGCCAACGCGAAACTCTATCACAATCTCGAGACTGACGGTCATAACAGAACTCTGTCACGTTGGAAGAGATTGATAGTGCCGATCGCTTTGCCCAGTCAATCGAAAAGATCGAGCTTCCTAATCAGCTTGCGGCTGTGTTGGCGGATCCCCTGCTTCAAAAGTTCATCGCTTTGAAGAACGATCATGCAGCTTCGAAACGTGTGGTCCATTGGATCGACGCTGTTCTTGAGGACGTCCTCAATGGCAACGCCGACGAGAAGCTGTTCAGGGAAACAATGGAGGTTCTTGCGGACTACGTTTCGCGCGTCAAGGTGAGTGTGCCCATGCCCTTTACTCGGTCAGGCTTGTCTGACTATCCAGGAAACCCCATTTGTCCTCCTGAGCTTCTTCGCCAAACTTTTTACGACATGGAACGGCGTGGACGCCCGGGACCCTATCATGAGCATTCTTCACTACGCGCCGCTGGTCGCGTTTAAAGGTAAGTGCTTCGGGACGGTTACTCAGCTGCGCCGCTGACCACAGCACAGAATTGTACGATTTCGTCCTCAAGCCCCTGGAAAAATGCCTCCCTCCCACGCCCGACTCTCAGGTGGCTCTTCTCAGATTCTACCAGAACTTGATCCGCCGCTGGACTTTTGTCCTGAGATCTATCGATCAGATACCCAAGGATACGCCCGTCAGTGCCTATCATGATGTCATGGAGCACGCAAGTATCGTTGCCCTCAGCCTTGTCCAGGCCTCCCCAAGCGTCGCTGTTCACGGCAGTGTGCTCGACCTCTACGAACAAGCCGCCGCCAGCATTTCAGACCCAACCCTCCAACCCCTACTCCGCATCGCGAACCCGCCGGCCCAGCTCATCTACCTCCTCTTCTTTAGCCACTCTCTCGCTAATGTCTCACGCCTTTGCGCCGTTCTAGCCACGTATAAGAAGGGCTTCGAAACGGCCATGTCTAGGCGGCAGCCGACGATATACGCCCCGAGCTACGTGAACCACTTCAACGGTTTCCTCATGGACATCTGCAACTGCCTCTGGCGTGGCAAGGCCTTCAATGACGGCGACAAGAATGCGCTGGGTTGTCTCAATGCTCGCCCGGTCACCCTGCGCCTGCAGAGATATGTCGAGGACCTGGGCATGGATCTCGCGCTATCCACGCTGTTTGGGTTCTCGTACTCGCCGTTGCTGAGCTTCCAGGCCATCGAGTGCATACGCGAACTCGAAGACCGTGAACAAGCCGCGAACGAGGACGCCATCTCTGCGCGGCACGCAGGGCCCGTTACTGCCAACAGTCTGGCGAGGCTGGCCGAAGCGCGAGGCCTGCGCATTACGTGGTCTGAGTATAGAATAATCGTACTGCGGGCGCTGGAGAGCAAGGGGTTAGGCGGCATTCCGGCGTTGATGAAGAATACTATGAAGGTCCTCATGAGCTCGAAGAACGTTGCGTAAAGACTGGCTTTGCGCAGTCTTTGCTGGGGCAACAAGGCCGGTCGGTTTCCGGCCTGAGATGGATATTGTCATGATACCCCCCCCCCTTGTGGGAGAAGAGACCTGCAGCATCAAAGGTGAATTGTGCTTCTGGCGTTCTATATCTCGCCAATATCTAAGTGTTTGTCTGTATGTCTGTCTCGTTGAGTCGACAGTGTTCCTCCGCTCAGATCTAAAGCCCCCCTTTTATGGTTGAAGACTAGGGTATCTTTAAAGCCGCGGAAATCCTGAAAGAAAAGAAAACAAGCCGCCCCCCTGTGGCATGTATGCCCGTTGTTGAACAGAGTCTATGCAACCAAACGCCGTCTGGAAGGCCAGTTGAGAGTACCTTTCCGTATCCGTCTCCATTCTCTCCTCTTGCGCGTTCCCCCGCCAATCCTCGCCCATGCGAGACTACCTGACATCCCCGTGGTCTAAGTTTGAAACGACACCTATATGGAGTGGACCCGGTGCTCATCTCCAGTCGAGGCAAAGACGGCAAAACGCTGTCAAGAAAGCAGTTGAGTGCCCCGTTTCGCCACTCCTAACCCAGGAAAGCAAAAGCAAAATTGTTTAGCCACACGATCCACAGCCAACCACCGCCAGCGGGCTGTCCCCTCCCCTCCGACAGTCTTATTTCAGCTTGTCAGACTCGTCACCGTAGCCCCCGTACCCGCCAGCAGCGTACGTCTTGCCCTCGGACTCAATGCGGGACTGCGACCTCGGGCCGCGGTCCTTGAGGTCCTGGCGCAGCCAGCCGAGCACCAGCTCGCCGAGGGTGCTGTTCCCGGTGCCACCCCCGACGCCGTCGAGGAACTTGCCGGCCGTGTCCCACTCGCGGACGGTGCCGAGGTGCATGTGAACAAGGTGCGTCGGCCAGCCGGCGAGGTTGTCGAGGATGTGGGTCGCGTAGACGATGGTGCAGTCCCGGATCTCCGTCTCGTGGCGGAGCCAGCCCAGGAACTCAGCGCGGCTGAGCACGTCGAGGTCGACGGTGATCTCGTCGAGCAGGAGGATGGTCCAGGGGCGGATGAGACCCATGGCGAGCTGGACGCGGCGGCGCTCGCCGTCGGAGACGGCGTGCATGCGCCAGGCGGTGTCAATATCGAGGACGGAGACGAGCTCGTCGCGGCGGTCCGGGTAGGCATCGCCGCCGACGGAACGGAGGAGCTCAAGAACACCAATGTCGGTGCGGACAATGGGGTTCAAGACCCATTCGAGGCCGAGGTAGGTGACACCCTCGAGCCCTTCCTTGAAGGGATCGACGCCGGCGATGGAGATGCCGCCCTGCGGGGCGAGGCGCTTGCCGGCGAGGAGGCGGAGGAGGGTGGTCTTGCCGGCGCCGTTGGCGCCGATGAGGAGGGTGCGCGAGCGCGAGGGCACGGAGAGGGAGATGTCCTTGAGGCCCGAGGTGGAACCCTGGAAATTGTAGCTGAGGTTGGTCACCTCAATGGTGGGGGATTTCTGGGCCATGATGGGCGGGCGTGAAAGAGGGGGGGGGGGGGATATTCGACAATGCGAGAGGTAGAGCGAAAAAGGATGTCACGAAGGATGGAGAAAGGCGAATGGGGGGGGGGGGGGCTGATGTGCGGTTGAGAGGAAGGAAAGTTAATAGAGAGCACTATGAGAAGAAAAGCAATCAAGCATTCACACCGCCCACGAGCGAAGGCGTCATGACTTGACCGGACACCTAGCGGCGATAGCACGGGAAGTCTAGGATGTCTACACTAGTCTAAACGGGCAATCGGATCCGCGCGCCCTTTCCTTGACTTGTCAGCAAGAAAGAAAAAATTACAGTGCCCCTCATTCATTCCAGAGAGGGAATGTGCACTGGATTGATGACACAACGAGCGGGAACCCCGCCATGGGTGGCCGGGCCAATGTCTGAACCGATCCACCCGACCGCCAAAGACGGGAGACCCCTCCCCGCCCCGCCCCAACCCCATTTACGCCAAAATTCGCGACTTTTCCGGTCCGAAGCTCATTCGACGCGTCCGGGTTTTACACGCAATACCGAACCCCAGCTTCAACGCCCTGTCGTCAGCCATTGACACCGCCCAAAAGCCTCTTTGACCTCGTTAACGGTACATCATCAGTTTCCAGTCGCAACGTCACTAGCCGGACCGAAAAAGAAGGAAAGAAAAAAAAAACCATGGTGACCCTCGAAGAAGCCACCGCGTTTCTCCAAAAGCCGGCGTAAGTCAACCGTGTATGGATCTGCAAAGAAACCCACCAAACATCTAACCCATCCGTTCTCCCGCCCGCAGCGACGCAGCCGCAGCCTCCACGACCCTCGTCCGCGCCCCTTCGCATTACAAACCCCTCAACACCTTCGCTCTGCCCAAGGAGCGCTCGTACCAGCAGCAGTATGCCGACGTGTACTTCCTGCGCCTCACTTCCATTCAGCCCGCCGTCAACGCCGTCGCCGCCGAGGCCTGGGACGGCACCGTCATCGGCGGCGAGGAGGCCAAGCACGTGAACCGCGTTCTCGATGTCCGCCAGGGCGAGCTCTGCTGGGTGACGGGCACCGTCTACATGGACATGGCGCTGAAGCCCAACATCCTCGAGGACGTGACCAAGGACGTACGTCTCTCCCTTCATATCCCGGCACCGCAGGACCGCAACTGACTAGACCCGCGCAGCGCTGGATCTCGGCCCCCGTCTCCACGGACCGCTACTACTCGGACGACGACAAGGACACCATCATGCTCGAGGACGACTCTGGTCGCATCCGCCTCGTCGGCGACGTCCTCAAGTCCATCCACCTCGTCACCGGCACAATCATCGGCGTCATGGGCACCGAGAACGCAAACGGCGAGCTCGAGGTCATCGACGTGAAGTTCCCGGACCTTGCCCCGCAACCCTCCCGCTGGACCCTCACCGACAGCCCCTCCCAAGACCACGACATGTCCGGCACCTCCAACCCATCCCAACGGCCTTCGTCCAAGATCGCCATCGTCTCGGGCCTCTCCTTCTCCGGCTCCGACGCCTCCTACGCCCTCGAGCTCTCCCTCCTCCTCGAGTTCCTCCTCGGCGAGGCCCTCACTCCGGCCGCCCAGTCCTCCGAGCTCGCCCACATCTCCCGCCTCATCATCGCAGGGAACTCCATCAGCTCCTCCACGTCCACCGCGAACCCGGCTTCCGGGACGGCGGCCAACAAGAAGTACGGCTACGACGCCAGCGCCTACAACCCCCTCCCCAGCCAGCTCTTCGACGAATTCCTCGCCGACCTCCTCCCCTCCATCCCTGTCACCCTCATGCCCGGCGCCGAGGACCCCGCCAACGCGAGCTACCCGCAGCAGCCCATCCACGCGGCCATGTTCCCGCGCTCGCGGCCCTACTGCGCGGCCCCCGGCGCCAAGGAGCCCGGCTGGTTCGACACCGTGACGAACCCCTGGGAGGGCGAGATCGACGGGTGGCGGGTCCTCGGCACCGGCGGCCAGAACGTCGACGACGTCTTCAAGTACGTCGACAGCGACGACCGCCTTGGCATGATGGAGGCCATGTGTAGGTGGCGCTGCAGCGCTCCCACTGCGCCGGACACACTCTGTGAGCAGCTAACCCCCACTACAACCCCCTTCTTTCTCTCGACGCCTTGCTGACGCTCGTCCAAAGGGGCCTACCCTTTCCAAGACAATGACCCCTTTGTCATGAAGGACGCCCCCCACCTCTACTTCGTCGGTTGCCAGCCCGACTTCTCGACAACGGTCATCCAGGGCGGCGACGGCCAGCAGGTCCGGCTCGTCACCGTGCCGTCCTTCGCGGAGACCAAGGAGCTGGTCCTGGTTGACACGGAAACGCTGGAGGTCTCCAGGGTCAAGATCGTCGCGGCAGCTGCGACAGCATCATGATGGGCAAGTCGAAACTTGAGCGAGGAAGAAAGAAAATGAGAGAGAGAGAAAAGAGCACGTTCACCAAGAAAGTTATGATTTGATATACCCCCCATAAGCTATGTATGGAAAGGAAATGGAAATCGCCGGTGTCTAGATTCGTGGAGTGGATATTAATGCTACCTAATGAATAGGCCCTTCAGAAAAACCAAGCGCTTTTATGTGAAGAAATCATGCTTAGTACCCCCCCGGCCGCCTGTCCCGGAGACGGTCGATGCGATATTGCCAAGTGCACGCACCCATTCAACCTCAAATGCGAAGAGATCAGACGCAGCCATCGCCCCAGGATCTGTTCCCAAAGGCATATACACACCCGTGAACCAAAAAGCCCAAAGCAAATTCTTCCTCGCGCCAACTGAGTCGATCGAGATGATGCGCACCCCCTTCCGCTCAACTACTCTCTTTCAAAAACCAAAATCGTCTTCTTCGTCGCTCTCATCATCGCCAGCCCGAGAGCCCACGAACCTTCCGTTCGGCCCCTCCCAAATATCGCGAACCATGACCGACAGCTTCTCGAGGCTTCGCTGCGCCTCGCCCGCCTTCATGCTGCGGTACGACTGCATGACCTGGTCGTTCTTCCAAATGTCCTCCTGGCCGCGCTTCGCGCGCCGGATTCTGGCCGCATACTTCATGTTGAGCCGGATGCGCTCTTGGTTGCCGCCGCCCGTGTTGACGAGGACCTGGATGAACTGGCAGGGCAGCCCTTTGAGTGCGCGCATGACTTCGGACGTCTTCTCGAAGAAGTCAAGAAAGCTGATCTCGCCTGTATCAACCTGGCGGATAGGCGTGATCTCAATGGTGATGGTGTGCACACGGGCCCTCAGAGGCTTCAGGTTGCGGAAGACGCCGATGGCGTTCGCCATACTCAGGAGGTATCCCCTGTCGAAGCGGTTCGGCTCTGCGACGATCATGAGATTGCGGAACTTGTGGCCGTAGCGGCAGATGTCAATCTCGACTTCGGGGTCTCGGGCTGATCGCGCCGCTGGAAGCAGGTCGTCCTCGTCATACTCGTCCTCACTACTGCCCTCATATTCCGAAAGGGGAAGCTCATCTGCCATCAAGGGATGATGAACCACAATTTCGTTCTCACCTAGTATGTTGGTGGCTGGCAATTTGGCGGTGTCTCTGAGGAGGTAGAGAAATGTGTTATCGCCATAGAGCACGTCTACTGCTTCGTTTCTGACCTGGCGGCAGGCTCGTAAGATGCTCGTCTCGACCATAGGCCGGTTTCGAGGATAGACTGCGGACCAACCTTGTCGAACTCGGATGGGATCTTTAACAACGAGAATTTCCTTGTAAATCTTTCGTCGGATCTCGATCGGAAGCTTCATCAAGGGGAAGGCGTCCTCATCGCCTGGTGTCTTGCGGCCGGTCATCCGCGAAGAGAGGTTGCCACGACCAGGTTGGAAACCTAACAGCGGAGAGTTCGTAGAGTAGACCGCTGCCTTTTCTTTGCGTGTAGTTGCCCTGGCTTTCTCAGCTTTCTTCGGCTGAGTCTTGAGTTGAGACGGAAGGGAAAGTTTGGGGTTGGCTCCCCATGTGTAAAGGGCGGTCGACTTTCTCGCAAAGCTCGCACCATGGTCCAGCGCTGGAGGCATCTCACGTACCGCATGATAGTCGTGGGGGTTGGGGCCTCTGGCTCCTTTGCGTCGCTTGGTAGGTCTGATCGTACCATCATCGCTGCTGTCCTCCTCGTCGAGAGGAATTGGGCGCTTGCGACTTCCGTCGCTGTTCGCAGCCTTGGTTTGTCCTGTAGACTTGGATTTCGAAGCCGAAGCGCGAGGCTTTACTTTGGGTGCTTTGCCTTTACCCTTAGAAACTTTGACCTGGTTCCGAGATGCAGCAGCAGAGTCCTGTTTCTTTTTGGCCACCCCTGCATCCTTACCTGGAGCCATGCTGCGAGGATATGAGGCTGAGAGAGAGACCAGTGAGTAGGGGTTCATCAAGAGTAGTCGGTTGAAAGCTGTCGGTACTTACCTGACAAATTATTGGAGAGGACGAGTGACGGAACTTAAGATCAGAGTTCCGCCGAACGTCACTTGATCTATGTAGGCCTCTAATTTGCGGCTCACCTGAGCTTGGGTCTCTGGGTTTAGTAAAGCGACTAGTAGATAGTCTTGTTGTGTTGTCGAATGAAGCTATCCTTTATTCATGGGCCTTGAGAAAATCATCAGCTTAAGTAGCAGAAAAGGTCTTGGTGTTTGTTTGGTGTAACTTTTGCGTGGCTATGAAGGGAAAGTGCGCTTTTCCGTTACCCGGTGCTTTGTCTTGATAAATAATACCTTGGTGGCATGAGGAAAGTTGGAAATACGGCTTTTCTGACTGTCAAAGATCAAAAAGGAACTGGGGCACAAAGTCGTTTCTTGTATAGGACCCTTTTCGCAGTTTTTGATAGGGAAGAAAGACCGACCTGGAAGGTATTCGCGGTCGCGAGAAGAAGTCCCGAAACCGAGGGCTCTTCGTAAGATGGCACGGAGATAGTCGGACTGAGACGTGATAGCTGGCAATCTGATCTTGGAGTCAAGTATTGAGAAATGAAATCGGGCTGCTTTGCAGGTCAGTCGTCCGAGGCAAGCACGCAGTGATACCTTGTTTCCCTGTAGAAAGAAGACAGCCCCGATCGTCGAGTAGCAAGCTAGCAAGGTGAGTTGTTATGGTGAGAGATGAGCTATTGATTATGTGTGAGATGGTGAGAGATACGTGTGGTAGTTCGTGGGGAAGGAGTATCCCTCTGATATTGCTCTCATGAGGTATCTGCAGTCTCGATGGCAGGTATGTCAGTCAGTAGATTCAAAGAAGGGAAAGAGTATCTGATTGCCTAACCCTTTAAAGAAAGAGCGTGTATGGCATAGAAAGTTCCCGTTGACTGGCGTCAGCAATCTTGTGTTCTACTTGAAGTCTCGATTGGTAAAGTAGAGAATTGGCTGTCAGAACAAGGCATTGTCTCCACATGAAACAGATATGATAAATTTCACCAGTCAAGGAAATGATGATATTGGTCAAGTTGTTAAGTGGAATGCGTAAATGATAATGGCATGGATTGATCAATACTACCAGGACTTCTCGGTTTGTCATTTTACGATGCTAGGTCATCTAGAATACACGATCTCTCTATACTCCTTGGTGGCCTTGACGGCAGAAAACTGGCCAACCATCTTGATTTCTCCAAAGTAATTCGCGACCCCCTTCTGCACGAAACCTAACCGCCTGAACAGTGCGATGCTCGCCGCATTCTTCTCCTTGATCTTGACCATCAAGCCCTTAAGTTCTGGCATCTTCCCCTCGCCAGACTTACCCTCGCCCTCAACGTACTCGGCAATAATGCGCTCCTTGTTGCGGTGCACGTAGGTCAGGAGTGCTGTCACGGCGGCGTGTCCAATGCCCTTTCCGCGATGGTCCTTAGACGCGATCATGACATCCACCTCGCCGACGTACGAGCCCTCGGCCGCGGCCTGAGTTGCCTCATCGTCATCGCCATCGTCGTCATCGGGGTAAATGAAGAAATTGATGTCGCCAATCATTTGCCCCGGGGCGTCAACTTCCCCAGCCTGTACCGCTTCGAGCTTCGTCTCGGATGATGCAGGCAGCGGATGGCAGATGATGAAGGTGAGCTTGTCGTGCGATGTCCGCCATGACTGCTGGTTCTCGTACTCCTCCTCGAGTGTTAATGGTTCTGAGGCCGTGGCTTCTTGGATGTCCTATGTCGAGCAATGAGTGGAGTTAGCTCGTTGCATCCTCCATCTTCACAGAAGCCGTCGTGAATGAAAGGAGAGAATGGCTCGGGGTTTGCTGACCGGATCGCTCATCCACTCATGATACCGCTCTACATGTTTCGCCTCATATGGGACCAGAGTCACCCGCGGCGTCGCAATGGCTGCTCTTTACGTGTAAGCAAATACTGGCTTACAAGATGTCTTGTGGTTTGGACTTGACTCAAGCAGGAGTGGATGACATGCCTGTATGTTCGTTCAGTCTCATTGTGTACTTGCATAACCTGTCTCAATTATATTCGTAAAACTCCACTTCAACTCTGGGAGCCTGGAAGCAAACACGAAGACCCCGCCAGTCTCGCCCGCTTGCAGCTCCGCGCTCTCTCCTGCCGGCGTCCCAAAGAGGAAGTGCGTCACAGACGAACAGCGGTCAAGTGTGGAGTTGATCCTGTTCAGTCACACAACAGCTCTAGCTGAGTGGATGTCAACGTGCCAGAGTGGTTAATGGGCTGCCCTGCTACGGATTCTCGGTCCTTGGATCTGGTCCCTACGGTTTAGGCAGTGGCTTCGGTCGCGCAAGTTCGAATCTTGTCGTTGACGGTGTTACTTTTTTCTCTCTCGTTGCAGGCAGTCTTTTGTGAGGCCACAGAGAGCGAGTGGTTAGAGCGAGAGTCATTTGGTATTATTATCTTGTTGATTACGTTTTTTTTGCACAGAGGTAGCAACAGCTGTCCGCAGTTCTCTCTGCCCTTTAACGCCCCACATCCACAGACTTCCTACAACGTGCAACAGCTTCCTTTTACATCAAGCTTGTTTACTTACCACTACGGCGGAATCCAGCAACTACAATAAGTAGTAAATATTAAAAAACAACGAGCGCACTACATTAGTAAGGCAGTAAATCAACGGTGGTAAAAATAGCAAAAGTAAGACGTCAAGGACAGGATTCGAACCTGCGCGACCGAAGCCACTGCCTATACTGAAACCAAGGGTTTGGTAGCAGGGCAGCCCATTAACCACTCTGGCACCTTGACTAGTGTCTGTTATGACATCATGTTTCAATGTCAATAATATGTACCATGCAGACCGTCGCGCTGGCTGTACTATGCAGCGCCTCGCTGATAGCCGGATATTTCTCAAGAGCTATCAATAAGTAAACATCTGTGCAATTGTTAAACATTGTACCCACCGAAGAACTGGAGAAGAGGTCGCTTGGAATAAGGTTCTACTAGATCCGCCATCCACGTCCGGATTGTGCTTGTACGTATATATGTATGTATGCACACAACTTCAATCAGCAGGTTTCTTTCAAAGTAATGGAAAATGTATATTGATCAGGCAGGAGGTGAAACTGAGGGGTTTCTCCTTTTCCTTTCCCTTTTGATATATAAGAATCTCTATTTATTCAAAGGGCCAGACCGAGACCCTGCTACAAATACATCAACAAATGACGTTGGCTTGCAACAACAATATCAGTTCGTTGTGCGTAGATTCGTCTGTGTCTACGAACTCAGCCTTCGTCCGTAGAATCAGCTTTCCGGTTTAAGCGGTAAACTGAGGAGGAGCATTACCTGAATACGTCTAACAACCTGTCCTGGCCACATTTCGTCTATAAAGATCACAAGTCCCTCTGGCGTCGTCTTTGATCTATAATCATATGATCGACCGCGTAGCTGCCCGGTCCAATGAACAGACATATATGCCATTCACACGGTGATGCCATAAGTGGCACGGTATCCTTCTAACATTTCCATGGTCACATTTGACCCCCCGCAAACAATGAGGACAATGTTCGTCTCCGCCCACTCCTTGTCTGACAAGAAGCCGCCCATCTGCTTACGCAGAGTGCCGTTGTACACAGTCGCAATCGTCGCTCCGCAAGCGACCTCAACCACCAACTGGGCGTCACCGACGAAACGTACGCAGGCCGTGGCCGCCTCTGCGTCAGTAACCGTCACGCTTTTGTGGCATTCGGGGATGTCTCGTACAAGTTCCCACGCCTTGCTCGCGACACGAACCGCGCCGAGCGAGCCCGCAATGGATGTGATGCCCGGGAGCGTGACGTGTTCTCCGGCACGCACGCTGGCATTCAGACTGTCCGCGCCAACGGTTTCGACCGCCAGCAGCCTCGGCACAGGCCGGTTGACCCAGTGATACTGGGAAATACCCTGGCTGAGGCCAACGAGCAGGCCACCGCCGCCGACAGAACACACAATGCCGTTGATCTTGCGGCGTTCAAGTTGTGAGGCCACCTCGTCAATGATGGTGGATGCGCCGTCCCAGATATGTGGGTGGTCGAAGGGCGGCACATAGACGCCGGCCGGGTCATTGGCCAGCAGCACTTCACGGAGGTGTCGGTCTGCCTCGGCCCAGTTCTCTCCGACCTGGACACAGTCCGCGCCCAAGAGCTTCAGTTTTGAGATCATGAGAGGCGACGTCGTCTTGGGCACAACGACGGTGGCCTTGCGCTTGAGCGCGATGGCCGAGGTTGCGCACGCGAGGCCGGCGTTGCCGCCGGACGAGCAGTAGAAGTGGGCGTCTGCTGCCTCCGGGGCGGCTTCGGCAGCGCGGACCATCAAATTGCCGACCCCGCGGGACTTGAACGATCCTGACGGCTGGAGGTTCTCGAGCTTGAGGTAGATGTTGCATCCTGCTATGCGAGACAGAGCTGCCGATCTTATGCAGGGTGTCTCAATCCATGGCTTCTCGGCATTTGAAGAGAGCAGACCCATGGTTGTCTTGGGTGTGAAAATTTACCCCAGAAACCCCCAAAGACTAGTGAATTTAAAAAAAAAAGGCAGAAAGAGACAAGCAACTTATTGGAAACTTCTGATACGTTCAGGGAAGCGACATCATATATTAACACGTTACGTTTGGTAGCCAAGTGACTTGGCTGTCGTCAAGCAAAGGGCGTCCGTTGACAAGTGCTGTGGAGAATTTTACAGGGGTTTATCTGCAAGCTGCTGCAGTGACTTCGTGGTTATCAGGAAGCTAGTGTAAACGAACAACCTCTTGTTCACGAAATGCGATTGTGAACCGGCCTTCGGAAATGCCATCAGACCGGGACGCCAAAGAACACTATAGATCCCACCTCGAGAGTTTTCGAACAGGGTCACCCCGAAATGTCACCCGAACTCTGTAATCGGCTCTTGTAATGTTGCCACTTTGATGTTACACAGTACTATACCGTATCCTCTCGATAAATCTGACATCTGCTGACTTTTGGGCTAACGAGAACGGGTATCGCGGTTACTGTATACAGTATAGCGTAGTCCTATGCACTATACCTATTATAGAAAGCGGTCAATCTCAAGCAGAAGACGTCTAGCAACTCTAATAAGCCTGTTTGCTGGCCTTTGTACACTTCCCACGTAATTTGCCTCTGGCGTACTCCGTACATGATGAGCCCCTACTTTTGCTACTGCTAGATCCCTGTTACTGCCAGCCGGTCATACCTCTTACGGCGGCCGCTATACCCCATCTCGTTAGCCCAGAGGCTAGCAGATGTCGGATTTGTCGAGAGGATACCTACGGAGAAGGCCCCATCTCCACTGTGGACACCAATTATAACCCCACAAAGGTCAAAAATGTATAGTACTTCTATTTGCGCCTAATTTTGCCTATACCAGAGGTACTAGCAATTTCACTCTCTTCGAAGAGCCACGCTGTAAGTTAGGTAATCATGGATTCTTATCACGTGAGTGTAGTGCGGATAAATAAGTGGAGATGGGGCCTTCTCGCGCCTGATGGGATACAATCTTACAAACGGCTCCTGTTTATCTTTTTCTTTTTTGGTGGGCAAATTACAGATATACAGACATAAAAAAAGCCCATTCGTCATCGCGGCCATTGATACCAAACCTCAAGCTCATTTTTTAGCAGCTGGCGGCGGGAAGAGGCTGTTCCAGTCCCCGGGCCGTCCTGGGTCAATCATCGGTGTGCCGTACGTCAGATCCGCGCCAAACACCGCGTGCTCAAACCCGCGCTTGTCGACTTGAACGCCGAGAATGTCCAGCATTGTGCCCATCTTGGCTGGCATGACGGGCTGAAGTAGAATACCCGCGCATCTAACAGCCTCCGAGGCATGATAGATGATCTCGTGCAGCTCGGCTTGATCCGTGGCCTTGGTCGACCTGTACAGGTTCCACGGCCCCGTGTCAGTAAGGTACTTGTTCACCTAGGTCGAGTCAGTTCAGCCCATAGGGGAAATCCATGTGATTCTTCTCACCTCCGCGAGAACGCTCAGCACGCTGCGAATAGCGGCATTGGGGTTCAGCTGGTCCATGTGCTCCGACATGGTCGCCGCCATCTCATTAACTGACGCCTTTAGCGCATCGCTCCCATTGACGGCGTGTCCCCTGAATATGCCATTCTGACCCACCCATGCTACAGAATTTCTGAGCTTCCACACCTTGCTCTTTGCGACACGGTTCATCGAGTTACCCAAGGTTGACTGCAGGTCCTTCTGATACCTCTCCAAGATGAAGGAGTTCTCGTAGTCGGCATCTTTCTCGATGCCGCCGTCGCGCATCATGAAGTATCGCATCGTATCCAGCCCCCAGCGGTCGATCGCGAAGAAAGGGTTCACGACGTTTCCGAGCGACTTGGACATCTTCTTCCTGCCCAGCGTCCAGTGCGCGTGGGTCAGCAGCTGCTTGGGCAGCGGAAGATCCAGCGCCATGAGCAGCGCCGGCCAGTATACGCCGTGGAACCGCACGATGTCCTTGCCGATAACATGCACGTCCGCGGGCCACCCGCCCTCGTGCTCACGACCCGGCTGCCACCCAGGGAAGCCTGCCTTGGTGAGGTAATTGATGAGTGCGTCTACCCACACGTAAACGGTCTGGCTTGGGTCGTCGGGGACGCGCACGCCCCAGTCCAGCCTCTGTACCGGCCGCGAGATGGAGAGGTCTTCGAGATTGTTCGACACCCACGCGATGACCTCGTTCATGCGCGCCCTCGGCACGATCCAATCAGGGTTCGCTGTGTAAAATTCCAACAGTCTGTCCTTCAACGCTGTCATGCGGAAGTGATAAGTCTTCTCCTCGATCCACTCGACCTCGTTCCCGGACTCGATTGAAACCATCGCCGTTCTTCCCGTCCGCGGTACAACTTTCCGCTCGATCTCGTCGGCCGCGTAAAAGCACTCGTCGCTGATGCAGTACCATCCTTGATGCTTGGCTTCATAGATGTAACCTTTTCCCTTGAGAAGATGCCAGAAGTGCTGAACCGCCTCCTTGTGGTCAGGGTCTGTTGTGCGGATGAAGTGGTCGTTGTCCATGCCAATCGCGCGCGCCAGGTCCCGGAACTTTTCGGCCGTTGTGTCGCAGAAATCCTTGGGCTCCACGCCCTGCCGCGCAGCCGCTTGTTGTACCTTGGAGCCGTGTTCGTCCGTGCCGGTGCAGAGGATCGCAGGCCGGCCCTTGAGAACCTGCCAGCGCTTCAGGACGTCGGCGAGGATCATCGAGTACATGTGGCCGATATGCGGCGCTACAATGGTATCAATTAGCCCCGGTATGTGGCATTGAGATGCAAGCAAAGCTTCACATACATGCATTGACGTAAAAAATCGGCGTCGTCACGTAGTACGGCTTATCGCCCTTGCTGTCAGAGCTCATGAACCGGCGACCCGATGTCTGGCCATGGTTGCATGAAGGACACGCCCAGGTTGGTCGTAGTGCCGGGGCATAGCGACGGCTGCGGAAGGCCGAAGCTGTGGGTACTCTCGCTGGTCTCATTGAGCGTGGGAGGATTGTGTCTGCCGTTTGGAGAGCATGCCGTCGAAGGAGATATTAAAAGTTACGCGATATGTCGAGCTGGGAGTGGTGTTCCAGTAATATTGTTCCGGCTAAGGGTACCGTACTAATTGATTTTCCGATAACGGTACAGAGCTCTTATCCATCGAGGTTCCCTGCTGCCCCGCCAAACTTGTTGCACGAGTCCTTCAATAGGTACTTTGCGACAACATCACCAAACAAACATTACCACGACTTACCTCATCCACGAGAATCTGCGACTTAGTACCCAAGAAAACAGCTGCAATCATGTCGCTTCCCTCCCGCGAAACAGAAATGAGAGCGTCAGCTGACGGTACGCTCCCCCCCTTCAACCCCCCTACCCCTCTCAATCCTCAACTCACAGACTCAAGCGGCCTCAAACTTCGCCGACGCCTACTACGAAGCCCTCAACCGCCGCAAGCCTGCCGGCACCCTCTCAAACTTCTACACGACAACCTGCTCCAAATACCCCTCACCACCCGACATCTCCATCAACGGCGCCGTCCTGCAGGGCGGGCCCGACGAGTACATTGCCCTCCTCGATACCCAAGGCGCTGACGTGCGCTACGAGATCGAGGCGCTCGACGCCCACGTCATCAACAACGACTTCTCGCTCGGCTGTCCCGAGCATCTGCAGCGCGGCGACGAGAAGGGTGCCAAGTGCAGCATCGCCGCGCAGGTCACCGGCCGCGTCTACTACGGCAAGGGCCGCGACGCGCCGGCCAAGACGTTCAACGAGGTCTTTGTGCTGGTGCCGAACTGGGATACTTTTGGAAAGAACCCGCCGAGAGGCGCTAGGCGGTGGTTGATCATGAGCCAAAACTTCCGCGCATTGTGAGGTGTCTAGATTCCCGAACGAGAGTAGGTGTAAAATTGCAAGCGACATCACGGGTATTGGGTTTGCTTTTGAGAGACGAATTAGGAGGTGTGGTTGCTTGCCTTCATCGATTTCTACTTTCGGCGTGCTGACCGATCATCAACAGAACCGAGCTATGAGTATGAAGAGATGCCACGCTCTGGTGCCGGGCTCCTGACGGTATTGGCGTGGCACTGACATGATGTACATGAACGGACAAAGTACCATCAATCTTATCGAACCACACTACGGTGGACGTCCAAAATCGGGACAGATCAAAATAAGAAATACCTCAAGGCACGTTTTCTGCTACAATGGACTACTCCAGCTGCTGCTTCCTATATTTCCAGTACCCCGCCCTCACGGGATCCCACCTTTCCGCCAGCCGGTCGAGGTACTTTACCGCCTCGGCCTTTTGTCCCTTTTCCGCAAGCACCTCGGCCAGGAAGTCTAGCGCGTGGCTGCTGCGCACCTCCTCCTTGTCGTCGCCCTCGCCGACGCCCTTAACGAACTGTGCCGCAAACGCCTCGGCCGCCTCGAGTTTGCGCCCGCCCTTGACCAGCACGCCGCGCAGGTAGTTCCAGGCGGCCTGATTCTGCGGCGCCAGGAGCGTCTTCTCTTGAGCGTATTTCACTTCGCGGTCGATGACGTCGGCGGATATCTTTGGGTCAGGCTCCGTCGCGTGCGAGCCCTCGGTGGAGGCGGCCGGGTCGTTAAAGACGAGGAAGAAGCGGTGCGACCAGGCCGAGTTGTTGCGCACGTCCTCCTCGATCCAGTTCTGCGTCGACAGCAGCTCCGACAGGTTCCACAGCCCCAGCTTTCGCACGAGGTATTGCCGATAGCTCCACACGTGGTAGTTCTTGGTGTCCTCCTCGAGCATGCGGGTGAGAAACTCGACCTCGGACCGGGCAAAACGCTTGACCTCGTCTGGCGTCGCCTTGATGGCCTTGTAGTGGTGGTCCAGCAGCAGCTGTCGATGGTGCCAGATCTGGTAATTCTTGATGTGCTCGAGCGAGACAGCGTTCAGCCACTCGATCTCATCGACGAGCGGGATGTTGAGGGTCTCAACTATTTTGAAGCGGTACAGCCAAACTGTGTAGTGCGCAGGGTTCATGGAAATGACGTGCTCGGTCAGCCGAAGGCACCGTGGGGTGTACTCTTCGGCCACCATGACGGCACGGAGGTAGCTCATGACTGGGAAAACGCACAGTGTGTCAGTGAAAACGAGGCCCCGAATGCATGCCACTGTCCAAGACACAAGTAGGTTTGAATTATTTACCCTCAGCGTAATCCTCCGGGTAAGCGATCGTAGCCAGTGCACCCTCGGGCTCATCGGCGGGAATGGGCACGACGTCGTCCCACTCCGGGTCCGTCGCATATGGGCCCATCTTATCACCGTAAAGCTCTTTCCTGATGGCCGACATCTCTCGTCGTCTCTGCGTCTCCTCCTGGATGTCCTCCTGGGTGATGTGCGTGACCTCTCCCGTTGTCGCGTCCGTCACTCCGTTCCTCGCAAACTCCCTCCGTTGGAGGAAACGCCGGTGCAGGACCCCGAGCGCTGTGAGCTGTGCCTGCTTCGCGGCCCGGGCGGCGAACTGCTCGAGCGGGTACTCGCCGACGTCGCGGCCGTTCTTGTCTTTACCCCAGTCGTAGACGACAGCGGCGCCCTTTTCGGTCTTGTGCCGGTCGAGGCGGCGGATCGGCGGGCTCTCGCGGTTGACCTGCTTCCAGAACTCGCGCTCCGCCTTGTTGGTGAGGTAAATGTCCTTATTCGCTACGTGGCGCACCAGAGTTGCGTTGACCCACGACTGTCGTTCGGCAGGTGTGAGGCTGTGCAGGCCACCGGCTTCCTCCCGTTTCCGTTCGTGAGGGTTCGTCTGGTAGTAACGTTGGAGGGAGCGCTCGTTGACCGTCTTTGGGGGCTCCGGGGCCTGGGCAGCAGGTTGTGTATGCTTGCCTGTTTTCAGCAAAGCCAGGTTAGCACATGCAGAGGAGAGGAAAGGCCAGCCTCGGCATTTTCGGACCGCGCGAAGGCCAAAAGACGCTGCGTGAAGCAGCGATGAATTAAGTAACTGGTATCAACTCACTCTTGCTCTCAGCTTCCTTGGCTTTGGAGCTGACCTTGGATTTAGCGGGCATGTCTGCGGCCGGTTTGAGTCGATGGCGGGGTTGGATGATTTCGCGAGCGAGGTCTGGTCTGACTGTGGAAAACGTTACGCCTACAGCCGCTGTACCCCACCACAGAAAGCTCCTTAGGTACAGCCACCCAGGCCTGACCAAGGCATTCATTCTTGAACAGCTAGGTGCATGTAACAAACAAGACGAACAAACGAACGCCCAACACATAGCTGCCAGACAGTCCAGTTTCGGTTTAACCTACACGGCATAAGTTTGAGCACCGTTTTTAGGTAGGCTTCTAAGATCTAGGTGTACGATACTAAAAAAGCCACAAAAAAAAAAAAAACCAAACTATACATATGGACCGTGGCCTGCTAAATGTCCCTGTCCCCACCCTCAGCGCCATTGTTATGTCGTCCGGCAATAAAATGTAAGGTTGAAAGAAAGATCCTGTCCAGATTTGCGCCCTGGCAAATCTGGTAGAGCACAGGAGTCTTATTAGAAGCAGATGGAGCGACACCACGTTGACTATCGGCTCTCAACTCTCCAGAACTTCCACCCCTCGCGCTCCCCTGCCCCTCCGTGGACACCAACCAGTTTCTCGACGCCTTCATTTCCGTCGGCGTTCAGAAAGCTCTCCTGGTCGATTTCCATACCTCCGTCATTGTCCTCGTCCATTCCATTCTTGAGGACGGCGGGCCAGAGCACACCAACACCATCACCACCCAGGGTCGTCTCGAACTTTTCGTAGCCCTCGTCCGCCAGTTGGGTCTCTAGTTTCATAAGCTTCTCCTTTTCCACATCGGGCTTGAGCAGTGTGATGGAGCAACCGCCGCCGCCAGCGCCGGTCAACTTAGTCCAACCAATGCCTTCGTGGTCCACTAGCTCTCGTATCCGCTCGAGACGCGGATGCGACACCCCCAAAGAGACCAGCAAGCCGTGGTTGATGGTCATGAGCTCTCCAACCTTGCGAAGACTTTCAGCCTCCTCATTATCGAACTCCTCACCACCAATGAGCTTGTCTGCCGCATCTGTAACCTTATCGATGGCGTCTAGAATGCAGCCAACAAGCTCGGGATGCGTCTTCTTGAGCTTAGCGACCTTGGCGACTTCGAATGCCGTTGACTTGGCCTGCTTCGTGTCGACGAGAAGAAGGGGCAGTTCGGGAAAATCCCAAAGTGGCCGTACCGCAGGTGGCTTGTTGTAATCTGTCCGTTGGAAGACGACAGCTTTGCCCTGCGTTGCTACGGTATTGTCAACGCCAGAAGGGTTGCCGTGTATACACATCTCGCAAACAAAGGCCCATCTGTTGATTCTCTCCACTTGCAGTCGTGCTTCATCAGGAGGTTGATCTGGGTGTGGGCCCGATAGCGTGCGCAGCTGCAGAAGAAGAGCTGCCGCTAAACAGACAGCGATTGATGCGCTGCTGCCCAGGCCAGCGCCAATAGGAATGGTTGATCTCAAGGTGTAGAGGCATCCCGTAAACGACTGGGAACCCAAGGAGAGGAAGATGTAGAGGAAGGCCGAGGCAGAGTTGTGGTGCACTTTGCGCACTTCTTCGGACTTGTGCAGTGATACTCCAGTGAGGTGCGGCTGGATGGCTTCGACAAGTTCCGGATCAAGCTCCGTCACGAGATCGTAGTAGTACTTCTTCTTGTCGGGGCGCTGGAAGGTCTCCCAGGGCAGTTCGTCGATGTTCCAAGTGTGTTGCAGGTCGATGTCTGGGAAGCGCAGCGTAACCGTTCTTCTCGATTTAGAAAGAGAGGTGACGAGAAGGTATGATCGCAGAGAGATGGCAGCAGCGATAGCAGCCTGTTTGTTTCACAAGTCAGTCCATGCGACGGGGTGAGCGAGGAAAAGGGGAATCGCGGACAACCGTACCTTGCGGTGAACCACAGCGTGTTCTCCAAAGACAATGACCTTGCCAGGCGCAGAGACCATGAAAGCAGGCATCATGGGGCTCGACTGTTTACGACTCATTTTGAGACGGGTGGCCAGGTTGGCATTGCCGTTTACATATGAGGCGGCCGACACGCCATTGATGGCGATGGTGTCAGCCCCATCCCGCGTTTCTGTTTCTGGGGCAAAAACAGCCATAATGTCTTATCGGTGAGGGGATCTGCAGGCGCGAGGAGAGACCTCGGGGTCGTCGCGCAGTCGTCGAATGAGCCTGTGAGAGGCGTGGCGCAAACCAACCGTCAGGGTCGTCTAGGAACCGAGGAGTTGGTGTTGAGAGGTCAATTGGTGGATGGTACCAAGAGCGGAACGAATCGAGACTGCAGCTGCAAGACAGGCCGTCGTGGAAGGTCGAGAAAGTCGGGTGCGTTGGTTGGCGCAAATACCGGCGAGGGAACTGCGAAGCGAGATAAAAAAAAAAGTGTTGAGTGAGAAGCAGCGAGGCGGATGTGAGTGACGATACCTAGCGGCGCGCAAGAGAGAAGTAGAAGAAGGAAAGGGTGTGGTGGGGTTTCGGGGGCCAGGAGTGTTATACAGTAATACAAGTACTTTGATTAGAGGATGAGAGGACAGAGGACGGGACATTAGATTTAGTTAGCCAATCTAGCTTTGCTACGTCCCGGGGTACTGTTGACAAGCAAGCTAATTCCGCAGCGTGGTTGCTGGAGCTTAACACGGAAACGGATCTGGCCCCTATAGCACAGGAAACGTGGGGAAAGACGATCACCAGAGGGTGTCTGTCTACAGTACAAGCACACGTACTATGTACGTACGTAGGACACGACGGAGGGGCACATGACGGACAGCTGCAGAGTGTTCCAAAAACAATAGTGCCGTACTGATACGGATGGAAGACACGGAGGGGCCAACAAGGACGAGTGGAACTTTGGAGTGAACTCTCCCCTCCTTCTTTGTAACCGACAGGGAAGAACCAAACCTACAGAAACGTGGCGGAGCTGACAGTTGATATGGATTTTGGTGCAGGAAAACGGGCGATGGCAACGTCAGTCTGGGGCGGGAATGTGTTGTCTCTCCTCCTGGTTGTCCTCCTAGGCCTTTCGAGCTTGGATAGCAGGATACACTAGAAGCTGCTGCGCCGCGACGCGTCGTGCTACGCCTACGGCGCTGCAGGTCTTGTTGGGACTTGGTTCGTATAAACACGATGATGCCCTCGAGGTGCAGGCCGCCTGTCTCCTCTCTCTGGCTCGCTAGAGTAGTACCTCATGACCAGTGTGCCGCTTGTGCCAGGTTATGATACTATTGCTTTGTCTTTGCATACGGACGCTCAGCTTGACGTAGTAGGTATACTGCCGTTGTAGGTTTGCTTCTCCTATGCACATTTGCCAGGCTGTCAGGGACTGCCTGGCCTGCACCTTTTCATCCCATTCACTATTGCATGTATTCGTACCTTGCTTTGTTCATGCGCGGCCCTATTGGCCATTGCCCCCTCCCCCTGATGATACTCCCGTTCTGATGGGTGTTTTCCCGGCAAACCCCGAGCAAATTGACAGGGGTTTGACAGGGGCTGCTGCAGGTGGAAGGGCGGCGGCCGCGATCTGGAAGCAAGTTTGGGATGCCATGCTCAGGTGCTACGAGTCGCTCAGCCCTGGTGGTGGTGTCGGGGAGCTTGGGCACCGTCAGTCTCTGCCATTGCTCGACGGCGCCCTCATGAGCTTGCGAGATACCTTACCAGATTGAATGCTGACGGACTGCGCGCTATCCTGCTTCCGCCTCGCATGTCAAGCATTACATGTTATTGTAAAGACCCAATGCTAAATCTTACATAGTAGCAGCGAGTCAGACAACAGTAGCCCTGGTAACAAGTTTAAAGGATGCCGAAGTTACGGTTGTAAGCAGGAAGCTTCTACGGCGAGTTGCCGCGTGGCTCCAAGCTTTCGACGGCAGTCATTGGAGCCAGCTAAGCCTGACCTAGTAAGTCATACACAGTATGCTTTCATCCGATCATGAGCTCTAGGTCACCAGCAGCCACCGAGTGCTAGTGCCGTATTGTCTGATCCCTCGAGAGGAGTCGAGACGGAAGTGGCTTCCCATAACGAAGGGCCAATCGTCTCTGGTCCAACAATGGCAGTCCGATGCGAACAACAGTCTCGATGCCAGACTCATTGAATTGGAGCCAAGGTCATGCACCCTTCAATGCGGGTGACGACAGGAGTTACGGTATACCTTATTGGTCTACAGTATGATTCAGGCAGGGCAACAAATGACTGGAGGCGGTGAAGAATCACGACCTCAAAGGAGAACTGAGATACGTATCCAAGGTAGTCAGTCTTTTTGTTGGGTCGCGCAGATACCATGAAGAGGGGAACAACCGAAATGCCGTCACATGAGGCCACCTTCAAGATCTGGCATCGCCGTGTCTCGGAAGACGAACACCGCCCTGCACCTCCGTAACATGGTATTTGAAGAAGTGGCTCAATTCCTAACGGTCAGGTCGAATGAAGCCGGACTGCCCGGACCGGGAAAGTCTGTTTCTGCTGAAAAGAAGGAGAAAAAAAAAGAAGAAACCGTTGCCGCCAGGGAAACGTTCTCCGTTCCGGAATGCGTACCTAACACACGTAAGCAGAGCTTATCGATACCTTGCCGACACAAGCTGTCAGCTCCAAGATTTAGGCGCAATGCTTCTCCGGGTCCACTCCCTCACCTCCCCTGGTCTTGGATCGCCGCGGAAGGCGGCCAGGGACAAACCGACGCTTGGCAGATACATATGGGCTGTGTGGTATCCGTAGTGAGATGAGCCATTGAGTTACGTTGACCCAGTCGTTTGAGGTCATGGTTGAGTGCTCATTCTGTGAGTGCTTGTATGCATCCATCTACATCCGCGCCAATAGTACATGCCATGGCCGCGATGCCTCGTGTCTCACTACCTACCAATGAGCGCCTATTCATCTTCAACTTAGTGTCAAGATGGTTTGCGTACCAGTCTTTACCAATTGACTACCTAGTGACCTGCAGCTTTTCCTCTTCTTCTTCTTTTCTTCTTTTTTGTAGGGACTTCGGTTAGTGAGATAAGATCAATGCGGCCGTGTGGAAAGTCAATCCGCGTAGGTATTGCGGGAGGAAGGGATAGATCAACTCAAGGCTGCCACACGGAATCGATCTATCAACAAATGGCCGCTCATCTGCTTGTACACTACACTGCATATCTGCCTAGTCTCAAGTCTGTCTGTGTCTGTGCTGCACTTTGTCTAGCGAGCAACGTCACTCCTTTCTGTGCGAGGACGTTGACCTGCATGCCTAACTGCCTACCCCGCCGAGTGGACCCTCCCAATCCCCGACGGCAGGCTAGAGAGCGCAGAAAACATACCGTCTTCAGTAAATTGTGAGATTCCTCTTTTTTGAGACATTATTTCAAGCAAAAGTACGAATAGACCGCTTCCCTGGCTTTTGTCCTTTCAGCCTCCGGCCCATACCGAACCCATGTACCTAGGTAGCTAGGTAGGTAAAGAGAGAGAGCTTCGACCCCGCGAGCCCCGGTTATTCCCGACGTCGCCTCGTGCCACAAGCCACGCATCTTTTCGACCTCGTCCACCACACCCACAGCCCAAGATGACCGTGACGGAGTTCGCACTTCTCCAGCTCAAGGAGCCGCTGACCGAGGAGTTCAAGGAGCTCTTGGACTATTGCCAGACGGTCCAGGACACCTGGGTCTTGCGCCAGCAGCCAGGACTCCCTCCTACCCGGATAGACCGCGGCACCGCCATCCTCCAGCAGGTCGAGGACCCGAGCGTGATCCTCATCGCAGCGCAGTGGGACTCGCTGCAGGCGCACCTCGAGTGGCTCGCGTCGCCCGAGAACCAGAACGTCATGGCCAAGCTGATGCCACGCATCCACGTCGAAGGCCCGCGAGCTGTTCTCTTCTTTCACGTCGACGCGCCCATCTTTGCGACGCCGGTGACGCCGCCGACCCAGGCCGACGGCGCTGCACCAGAGACGGAGAGCAAGGCCGAGGGGAAGAAGAAGGCCGAGGACAAGCCCCCTTCGCTGTTGACGGCGCCGGTGCTTAGCGTCGGACGCTTCGGTGTACGGTCGGAGAAGAAGGAGGACTTCACCAGCAAGTACGACGAGTCGAAGTGGGTCGTCGAGGAAGCCGCGAGGCCGTACCCCGTCCGCGGCGGGTGGCGGATGGAGAAGGCAAGCGAGGATCACGAGGAGTTTGTCATGTACTGCGGGTGGTCGACGGTCGAGCAGCACAAGGCGATTGCCCAACGCGAGGGGTTCAAGGAGTGGGCTGGCATTCAGGAGTTTGTCACAGGGACTGACATTTGGCATTACCAGAGGATCATGTAGGTCTTTTTTGCCGCCAATGAGCTCGAGGCTGTCTGGATAAGCGTAAGCATGCCTGGCCGGGGGAGGCATTTCCGTCGCGACTTTTCATGGGGGGTTTTTTTTTTTTTTTTTGCGAGACCTGCATTTTGGTTGTGTTCAATGATTTCTTCATTGGCGAAATGTCCGACTAGCAAGGAGTAGACAGGTCCATCTCAATCCGCAATTTGCCTAGGTAATAATCCCTTGACGCCGTATGTCTCGTGAACAGACGGTCCGTACTCCTCTTTCGAGGAAACAGACACAACCCGTCACTTCATTTTTCCCAAGGACCGACCGGCCAATGGCCCCTCACCAAGTCATTCCATAGACCTCATAAGATGGGCTACTCATGCTCTTCTATTCCTCCATCGAAGCGATTTTGACTTTTCCCAGTTACAGTGTTGGAGAGCGCTTATGCGGAAGCCTTGCCACCCTTGGGGTTCTTCTTGGGGACGTCCTTGATCTGGAGCTCTGTTGTGTTGAGTCGCGGTTAGCATACTTTCCTTCAATTCGAACACCTCTCCATGGGTTGCTAAGAGTGGCGACCGAAACCAGACCAGAGGAACACGTACGAGGGGGGAGGGACTGCTTGAGCTTCTCGGCCTTGTCGGAGTCCTTAAGGACAAGGGTGTAGAGGTGGCGCTGGCAGCGAACCTTGAACTTGATCTGGGCGCTCTTGCTGCTGCGCTTGATGCGAGCGGCTACATCACGAAAGCGTTAGAAGACTGTCCTATCCCTTGTTCTCTGTTCGCACAACGATTTCGCAGCCATGTATTGGGACAGAGGGCCGCATCTTGTCGAGTCTTTGGTGGCAGTGGGGGTTTAGGGGAATCTGCATACAGGAAGCGTCCTTTCTCCGGGCAATCTCAATGAACTACAGAAACGTCAATTGTTAGCCAATCTTTCCCGGTCAACAGTCACCACGCAGCGTTTCGCCGCTGGATTGAGCGTACCTGCTTGATATCACCGATTTCGCGAGGCATCTTGGCGGTATTTGAGGGGAATTTGGCGACAACGGAGGGGGTCTTGTCTGGTCGGAGTGGGTGGTTGTCTTTTCGTGGTTTTGGGATTTGAGGGCAAAAATGATTTTGTGGGATGGACCCCTGGCGAGAGCGCTCGCTCGCCCGGAAGATGCACGGGCCATTCTCCTGTACTGGACTCGAGGCACTCGGGGGTTTGAATCTGTCGAGGTGCCGACCTTATCTTATCGTGGCTGGTGCCACACTTCCCCACTCTGTCGCTCCGCCTCAAATGCACCTATTCTATCCGTACCATAGGCAGCAAGCAGCCACTTGGGGCTTTGGGTTGGAAAGCTGAGTGGCAGTGAAACGTCACTGTGGCACGCGTCAGCCAAAAGCCCTCGGGCAAGGCGTGGCGCTGGGACAGTGAGCAACCGCTTCGGTCTGTCCCTTGGCACCGGCGGGTGGGTTGACGACGCTTTCCAACTCAAAGTCGTTTGCGAACACGTTGCTGCAGTTGCGCAATCTGTTTCCCCTCCCATTCTCTGTCCTTATATAGGTAGCGCTTGTAGAAACAAGAAAACAAGAATACAAACCAAGCTTCGTTCCATTCGTTACACAGAGCAAGGAACCAGCGCACCGCCACATATACCCATAGCGACAAGATGCCCACGCCTTTAGACAACGCCATGAAGTCCAGAGTCAGTATTCATTTCCCTCACCTTATTCGGTTTCTTGACGACTCTGCTAACGCTTGAGATAGAGTGCAGTTCTTGGTGAGTACACGAATCGAATGATTACTCGTGAATTTGGTGCTCATCGCGCCACAGCATTCGGTGGCTTGGTGACGGCCGCGGCTGTCTGGGCAATTTATGGAGGCGACATGTTTCCCGCTGCTCCGGACCCGACCGGCAACCCAGAGAATTGGACCAGAGAGGAGATGAGGAGATGGCTGGCCGCGGTATGCGCGCAATCCCAACAATTCGTCTTGCTCTTTGCTTACAACTTTCACAGAGGAATCTCTTTCCCAATGACAACGACAAGCGAGAGGAGCTCCTAGCACGAGTGCTGGCCAACATGAGGGCTCCAAGACGGTGAAAATGGAGTGTCCCACTTGAGGGAAAGGGACTTTTCCACGCAATATCCGATGATTTATTGCTTCTGATCCACATTTATGAGACTGCCCATTGCTTTAAACGTAGCATAGTATTGTACAAAGGATTCTAAACACGAGTTGCCTCCTTATGATTCTCGGTGCCAAAGCACTCCTATTGCAAACCCCTACAACTCATCTCTTCCCGACGTCTTTGCAACCGTCGGCTCATCCGTCGTAACCTTGTTGGTAGACTTCCAGTTAAGGGCCTTGAGGCGCTCGGACAAGTGAGGGTGAGAAAAGTGGTAGGTCGCGTACATCCAGTCGGCGTCCATCGAGCTGAGGTTCTGGATCTGGAGCTTGAGAAGGGAGCGGGCCAGCTCAGCCGAGTAGCCAAGCTTTTGGGCAAAGGCATCAGCCTGGAACTCGTACTTGCGGCTCAAAATGTTCATGAGCAGCTTGACGACGGTGTCCATGGGCGAGAGAGCATCAGAGAAGAGGATGAAGCCGACGATGATGGGGTGCTCCTTGAGGAACCCAAAGTCGGCGTAAAGCGATTGGTTGCTAATGAAGACAGAGAAGAGGGCAAATATGTAGAGAAAGTGGGCCTGCGAGGTGTTAGCTGTGCGATACCCCGTATACGACCACAAAACATACCTGAGAGATTCCAAAGAGACGGGTGGTGTGGCCAAGGCTCCAGTGGCCAAGCTCGTGGGCAAGAACAGCAACAACCTCTTGGGCATCGCTCTTCTCGATGAGGGTGTCGTAAATGACAATGTGCTTCTTCCAGGGAAGACCAAAGAAGTAGGCGTTGCTGTGAGCGCTGCGCTTGCTTCCGTCGATAACGTAAAGTTCGTGAAGAGGGAATTTCAAGCTCTTGGCGAGGCTCTCGACGCTGTTCTTCAACTCGCCTTCTTCCAAAGGCGACAGCTTGTTGAACAAGGGCAGGATGGCGACCGGGTAGATGGTGATCATGAAGACCTGCAGGCCAGCGGCAAACGCCCAGAGGTAGAAGAAGAACTGGTTGCCCGTTTTCTTGACAATGGAGAGGAAACCGGCCAGAACGGGAGGCGCAATAACGAAAGTGAGGAACTGAGATTTAATCATGTCGGTAATGAAAAGCTTGGGTGTCTGCTTGTTGAAGCCAAACTTCTCCTCGAGCACAAAGGTCTGGTAGATGGAGGTGGGCAGTGAGAGGACCTGCTGGATCATGATGAAAGCGAGGACGAAGACGATGGACTGGGAAATCTCGCCGGTGAAGCGCTGCGGCGCGAACTTCAGCAGCAGGTTACCGGACCAGGACCATAACTTGGGGAGGACGTCGAATTGGATGAAGGCGATGTTCTGGATCTGACCCCAGAGATTGTTGATGAAACCAAACTCGGCTTTGGCGCGGTTGTAGGCTTGCGACTTGTCGAAAACTTCCTGGGAGACTTCCTGCTCGAGCACCTTGGGCGGCTTGTTTTTCTTCAAGACCTGGTACTGGCGCAGCGAGAGCAGGCTCTCAAAGATGAACTGGCCGATGGAGAAGCCGAGGATGAGGCGCTTCCATGGGAAGAGCGGCCGGTCCAGGAACCGCGCAAGACGTTGGAGAAAATCCATTGTGGCCAAAACTTGCTTCTTCTAAGGGATCCGGAGGGATTGCAAAGGAGGGACAGGAATGAATATGTTGAATGAGGAAACAGGGCAAGCTCCGGATCTGTTCGTAAGCTGGTCAAACCCATCAGCAAGCTCAGGCAAGCTGTCCACAGTGAACCGATGACCAAGTGGGGTCACCCGCCCTGCGGTCGGCACTTGCGGAAGCCGGCAGTGCCTCTGATTGGCTCACAAGCGCCTAGGCTACCCCGAATTGAATTCTGAAACATCCGCTTCATGCAATGTCTTTCCTGCATACAGAGAAACCCCGTATGAACCGCAGCACCCCGTTTTATGCATGAGAGACGGGAATTGCCGACGGATCGGAAGAAAGTCTTCCGCAAAATCTCGAGCTTGGTGATCGCGATCAGTGAGAGCTCCACGCAGTCCACGACAACGACCACACGACTGCTGCCAAGATGATGCGCCAACCCATCACAAGTCTGGCGAGGAGCCTCCTCTCCCGCGCAGCAACTCAGCCTGTTCGTGTCGCCACACAGGTGTGCTCGCAAAGGTAAGGCCCGGCCACAAGATCGCTGGACCAACCAATGCTTTGATTAGCTAACATTGGCCATTAGGATGTTCTCTTCCCTTCCCTCACTGCGTCCCTCTATCACGCCTCTCACATCCGCCTTCCGCCGGCCGACCGCCACGCCTTTCACCCCCTCAACAGGTGATGCCGCCGACGTGGTTCCGACGAGCGCCATCACAGAGCACCCTGCCATGGGCGCCATGCAGGTCCGCTGCGGCCCCCGTAACACGATGAACCGGAACACCCGATTGATTCAGAAGCGGAGGCACGGCTTCCTTTCGCGCATGAAGTCCAAGGACGGTCGCAAGATTGTGGCGCGAAGGCGGGCGAAGGGGCGCAAGAAGCTGGGCGTTTGAGTGATACGTTGCCCGGGGACGATAGCAAAAACGATAGAATTTCCGTGGATAGCAGCGTGAACCGAAGCATAGGCGGGCCGTTGTCATCCGAAAGTTGGGCTCCAACCAAGCCGCAGGCGATAGACGACCTTGGCTTGGATGGCTGTGGGCCAGGCATGGCCTAGACACTTAGACATCAGGACCTCGACGAGAGGTAGTGTTCAATATGTATCAATATGAAGACAAATGTACAACATCCCAACCACATGTTGCTTCAAGGTCCGGTATCGACAATTGCGCTTGGCGGAAATGGCGTGGCAGGACTAGGAGTTGTAGGCTCGCTTTTGACACGCGGTGGAGGCTTAACTGATAGCATGTCATCTCGTGTCGCCTAAAGCCCAAACAAGCAGTAAAGGCTTGCAATTATAGGTAGACACGCAGCATCTAATACTTCAGAAGATAAGTAATGGCACGTAACAGCAACTGTCCGCGCCCGTACGTTCTCTCAGCGCTTGAGCCTCACCAATTCCTTGTTATTGATATTAAATTAGCACCCCCTTCAAGGCCCCAGTCTCGTCACTATCGGGCGCTCACCATGAGAGAAACAGGCAAACACAAGCACGTATCTATCTCGAGGGAACAGATGAATATGCCGCTTTGACCCCTGCCTGCCGTCTCCCCAACCAACCCAGTTGGAAAACAAGCGATCGCGTCATTGCGCAGCGAACACGAAACCTCCAATTCTCCCAAAAGAAAAGAAAAGAAAAAATCATCGAGATCGCAATCCAAATCCTGTCACATGCGGTCAGGGATTCAGGACCCATATAAATTCGGGGAAGCTCGGCACGCGTGCAGAACGCGTTGAGCAACAGCAATGAGCTCATAGCTGGTCATTTGAGTTCGGCAGTGTATAAGTTAACCCTTCCAGAAAGTTGATTTGAAGAGGGGCTCCAAACCACATTTCATCGATTCTTTGGTCCAGCTGGCAAGCGCTCGTTTGTGCAAATGACATCCAAGATGCCCAGGACTAAGGCCACCACCTCTGACGCCGCCGCAACTACCAGTGAGAGCAACCGCTGGTCGGCAGTCTCGGCGTCGCGTAATGCCGACAATGACTACAAGAAGGCCTTGGAAGACACCGACGCCTATGCATACACCTGCAGATGTCCCTTTGGGGCCAAATCCGGAGGAGACTTTGATGACGATGACGAAGATGAATTTGAGGATGATGAAGACGACGAAGGCCATCAACAGCCCAAGTGCGATGGCGGCGAAACCTGCCTCTGCACGAAGCCTGCGGAAGAGCACCCCGACGCGCCCTTCTTCATGACGAACGCCGGCTACCGCAAACTCATGACACAGAACATCCATTGCGAACTTCGCGATCCAGATAACTTTGGAATGTATACATACAACGATCACGCAGCCTACGGCGTCCTTCAAGTAATTCAAAATATTATCCTCGACTTCGAGGAGGCCAAGGACAACTGGAAGGAGCAGTGGGTGATCTGCGAGGCCATGGTGCCGTTCATCTGGTACCTCTCCGGCGGTGACTTCGCCAGGTAAGTGATCCCCCCTTTCGCGGCCCCCTGTCGGGCAACCTGCATCGAGGCCGGCTCGTTGACGAGAACAAACCCTTCACAGGGCCGACGACGGCGAGCTCTGCAGCCACACCGCCCGTCTCATCGGCAACCTCTTCCTCGCCACGCTCGCCCGCCTCGAGCGCGAGGGCGTCCTGACCCCGGACTCGGAGGTCAAGGACCTCGGCCACGTCATGGCGGGCATGCTGAAGGTTGCAGCGACCTTCCGCAGCTACTCCCTCCTTGACCAAGGGGCCCGGATGAAGAGGTCCACCAAGAAGCGACCGTTCCCCTTTGACGAGGACTCGTTCGACAACTACGTCGCCGCCTATGCCAAGAAGCACGGCATCACGCTGCGTGGCGTCCCCGGGCTCGAGAGCCTGCTAAAGGACGTGGATGACAGCGTCAAGCTGCCGAAGGAAACTCACGGCGACGATCCCTGGGGTTGGGAGACAGCTTTCTCGGAGTACAAGAAGGGGAGGAAAATTGGCGGCGACGATCTCGACATGACGAGCTGGTCGAGCGCGGAGCGCAAGAGGGCCGCGTTCAACAAGAAGGACCCTCTGGGGAAGAAGGAGATTGAAGCGATCAAGAATGGCATGGTCATGATGCTTGGATAGATCGGTTGTGATCTCTGCGATTTGGGGCGTTAATCTAGTTTGCTGGTGAAACTCTGCCGCGTTGTTGTTGAACCTTTGGCGATGCCGGGCATCGTCAGCTATCGCCGGTAAGAGGATTATGTGCAATACGGCACGGTATCCACCAAGACGGTGTGTATCTCATGAGCCTTTCAACAAGGCAACCAGCGATAGCTTCTTTTCACCAATATTTGAGAATGGCCACTATACCCCAACTATTCGTCACCCCTTCGGCCTAGGTACCAACAGAAACTTTTGAATTTTGTCACAAAGCGTTGCGGCTTCTGCATATTCCACTTTCATCACTTTATGCTCAAGGCAACAGTGGGTATCACGACGTAAATCTCTGCTTCACCCAGTGAAGAGGCTGCACCACTGGCCGCGGCGGTAACGAACAGAGAGAAGTCACATACGAAGCCAGGGATGTTTCCCCTTGAATATTCTCTCGTCACAGCAACCACTATAGCAGGTTTCAGTAGCCTAATATAACCGCCACCGATAGCTCCCCAAGCAGAGGAGCACAAGCACGTAGCTTCGGAGGCCGCAGATATGCGCCAAGCCAACAACCCAAGCCTGTGCCTGCAGTCCCATCAATTGACTGGAGCCAACGACGTCGCTCCTACAACAGCCTTGCTCCTACCACCGAATTCATGCCTTCCCCACCGGGGAAGCACCAGAGAGACGTTTTAGGCCCAAGAGAGATGCCCCAGGCCAGACAACCCAAGGCTGCGCCTCTGTACATCCTACAACCGAAGCCAAGGTTCCTCCCAAGCCCAAGGCTGCCGATGGTGGGAGTCCCAACACGGTCCTATGGAGCACCTGTTGACTGATTGACAGTTGGTAGAATTCAGTTCTGAATACGGAGGTTTTGATACTGATTTGAGGTGCAGAGAGTTTGTACAGCGAATACTTGTTCTGTGTATGGGCAAAGGCGGAGCAGAGTTATTCATCCATGGGCATTTTATCCCACCCCTTCATCTCCACAGAGACCACCAACCATACATGTACCTTAAAACTCTTCATCAACCTGTCATCGCAAAAATGATGACTTTTTGGAATATGGAGCACCCAGACACTATCGTCAACGTTGAGAATCACGCTATGTTCGGATTACATTACCCCTTCTCAACGAGATAGTCAACCACTACAAGCATGCCGCCGGCACAATGACCACGCAGATGGAGATAGGCTCTGCCTAGAGAAATCCATCAATAATTCGAGCCCGCTGTTGATCACGGCGGTCGACCCAATATAGAACTTGGGGTTTCCCGGCAGAAGACTTGGAGGATATGGGTTTGCAAAACAGTCACACGAAAAAATGAAACAGTCACGTACAAAAAGGAATCAGAGAAGTTACCACGGACCTGCTTCACCAGGTCATCTCGCAATTAAATGGATATTCACACTGCCTATTTTACCCGACCTTTTTATATCCGAACCCAGTGAGTCGTGGACGTGATCCGACGGATGGAGTTGGCGTACATCTTCCAGATGGTAAGGGGCTCCCTGAAACAGATGTGTATTTTGGTGGGAAAGATCAAATGTTATATGTCCGTGGTCACTTCTCGCTCGCTATCGATGAGGCCAGAAGGTAGGAATCAACAACTGCATCTTCAGCTTCTGCTATGGACAACATCTTGGATACAGGTGTGGTTCTATCAGCCTCTGCCACAGCAACATGGCACCAGGGAGCTGAGACATCATGAGAGAGTCAAGCGTCCCTTTCCTTTCCTCGTTGCTCCGTCGGGATAATAGAATATGCTCCCTAAGGGTTATGTCCTAGGGCTCAGGTGTGAAGTAAATATCGGAATTAGAAAAGGAAGGTGCATCCCAAGGAAAAATTAATCCCGTGGCCCTGGACCTACCGCTCCTGCCTCAATCTTTGCTCTCTCTGCCTGCCCCCCTTTCCCTTCCCACAAATCCATTTCTTTAAATACTTCCTCCCCTCTTCGTTTTTCTTTTATCCCTCTCGTGCACACAATACGAACCTCCCCCACCCCCTCTCTCTCTCACACACACATACACACACAAGATGGTAAGTACAGTCTGACGCACCTTCCATTTGACGATGATTCTAACTTCATGGTGAGCCTACCGTATTCAATGGAAGCGGTTACATTCAAAAGCGCCGGTGCGTTCTCCACCGGGGGCGGCGGCGGCGGACACCGCGGTGGCGGTCGTGGCGGTCGTGGCGGCCGTGGTCGTCATGGGGGCCACCACGACCCCAAAACTATGTCCAGACGTCGTGTAAGTGTGCATTATTTGTTCAAACTTGGGAATGTTCACTAATAGTATTATATAGTTGAAGGACTACATACGTCTGCTTGGAGAGCAGATGCATCAAGCTCAGTCAGAGCTTGATTCGGTATGTCATCACGTGTTTCCCACTCAACCAGTTCATTCCTGACAACCTCTATCTAGCGCCCCGTCCCGCAGAACGGCCCCAACCCGCACGTAAGTCATGCCTCATCTCTTGTTCAGTCCTATTGTATATGAAATCTCTAATCTCATCTCTCGTTCAGTCTTATCGTATAATCAATCTCTCATTATTCTATAGAACGGTCCCAACCCGCAGGATGGCCCCAACCCGCAGAACGGCCCCAGCCCGCAGAACGGCCCCAGCCCGCAGAACGTCCCCAAACCAGAAAACCTTCCCCTGCCAGTATGTTACTGTCTATTACCTGTTCATCACCTGTCCATTATCTGTTCTCTGTCTATTGACTAACTAAACTATGTAGTCGTGAGATGGTATGGAAATTGACTATAGTGATGATGAGGTACGCTATTAAAAAGGGTTCATAGCTAGCTTGTTCTATTCTTATTATTAGAGTATAATATAAACTGTGTTACCGATCAGAGTCTTTGCACCAGCGCGCAGACAAACCCTCATCCTGGTAGGTCACTTGCTCCTAGGTATATTAGACGACCACCTCGGGTCATCCAACGAGGTGATTGATTTGCTTATGCCTACCTTTTGTCTGGGTCATTGTCGCCTCGTCCTTGCTTGCTTGTTGCTCTTCACTGCTTTGCTGTTTCGTTTCACTCTCTCGCTGTGTATCTCAGCGACGCTGCCGTGTCCATCAACACGCCAACACTTACAGCCCATCGGCCCTGTCAGATCCGGAACGGCTGCCGGGAGGACCGTGTCCGAATTAATCCTAATTACAGCGCTAGGTAGCGTCAAACAGCAATATGACAGTTTCTGTTGAATTTCTAGTGATAAGCCCCCTTGTCAGTCAGGTTTCCTTATCTGACGGCGCTGCGGTCTATCCTAGAGACGCTGTGCCTGCCGGCTATGTTGCCGCACCATACTACCCGTCGCCATACGGCGGCTGGGTCTCAGGCTGGTCCGAAAGCTACGCCAAGAGTCGAAAAGAAAAAGGAAGAAAAGAAAAGGCTCCCGCCACATCCTGACCGAGCCCCTCCTGTTAACTCCCGGTTGTCGCGAGTTTGCTTCCTCCCACCTCGGGACAGCGTCTACACAGCAAGCGACAGTCGGCCATTTCTGTTTTGACAGTAGCGGCCAGCGTTGCCAGTCGAAAAGCCAAATCAGCTTGCGGTCACTGGTTAGACGCACCCTGACACAAAAAAAAACGCCATATTATTTGTACGCTTCACTTTCCGCTGGCTTTCTGCCCCCCACCATCGCTATCTTCAAGAAACGAAACGAAGAACCGGAACCAAAGGCTGGCCAAACGCATACAATTCACTTTCTTCTGAAAGCCCCCGCCATTGCTATCTTCATGACTCCTTGTAGTATCGTGTACTGTCCTCGGTGAGTTTCTTAGGTAGCAGGACAGACCACAGATTGAAAAAGAATCCCGGTATGGCACTTTGTCTGTCCCTTGTCCTTCGCCCGGGTACAATAGCAAGCACAATATCCCCTTATCCCAAACGACAACGGTCCCTTAATCAGGCAGTCAGCATCCTTTCCGTTCCGTCGGAGTGATAGCGTATAGTGTGCTGCAGCTGCAAGTTAGAAACGCTAATACGATTATCCTGTTGAAGTTTCGCTTGATAGGTAAGAGATGCTCGGTACTGACAAGAAAACGATGGAGGTGGGGAAGCGAGCAAGTTCGCGACGTGAAATAGGAAAGTGCTAGCGGCGAAGGCAATTCATTAAGCAGCTCGCCGCTTACAACGAGAAGATTGCCAACTCCAGTCATCAAAAGATGGTAATCATCGAGGTTCCCATAAATTGCAAAGTTGACGAGATATTCCGAGTCGTAAAGTCTCAGACCTTCTGCCCCAGTCCGACATCGCTAGGAATTCGTCCGCTTGGTTCTAGGCGTGAGTTGCCTTCGATATTTCATCTTCGAATTTCACGCGCTCCGAGTCTACTGTGAACTGAAACTAGACGGGGCCACCACGACCGCCACGGCCGCCGCCGGTGAGAAGCTCACCAGAACCCGAGAAATTGACGCTACTGTCGATTATGATTGACTTACCACAACCAAGAAGAAGGCGCTTCCGACAATACTTACCATTGTGTGTGTGTGTGTGAGAACCCACCCCCGTCAAGTCTCGGAACCTTCCCGGTAGCCCCGAGAACCTTAGGGGCTTGGCTGCGGATTGTTCATTGTAGCGTCATTCACGTTGTTATGAAAGCCAATCCGTGTTTGGATCACAGGGTTGGCGTGCTGGTCTTTTGGTATAGTGCTTGTCTAGGTTGGGTCGTGTCAGCTGCCGGCCTCACTAATGGAGGCTCAACCGGAAGGGAAGCCAGCTTCGGACACAGCTTCCGCCTCTGGTTGGGATAATATTATGTTGTTTTCTAACGCGCGGACGAAACACCGGGGTCTCCACGCTCCCAGCGTGACATACTAAAAGGCATCAAGTCTTTCGGATGAGTTTATTAAGTAAATAGAATTAAAGAGAATTCTTCATGGCTAGTTGATGAGAAATTCAGATAAAGATAACGCCATCTTGCCTTAGTCCAGGCTGACCCTAACCACTGCAGACTGAAACTAGACGGGGCTCGGGAGTCCTTCCTCACAGTTCCCAGAGTCGGTGTAACAGGCCAAGAACAACTTGTCACTAGCCTCCCCGACCCATATCTTGTACCTGCCCGTCGGGTTGGGCACAATCCAATTCTGGCTGACTACATCCCAAATGCTCAAGTCCCGCCTCGTCAGCTCTAGCGTCACCGTGGTGCTCTCCCCGGGCGCCAGGTTTGCCGTCTTCTCAAAGTCCCGCAGCTGGATCACGGGAGTGTCGGGTCCGCCGTCGGGGAACTGCACATACGCCTGCGCCGAGGCCTTGCCGGAGTACTGGGCGCCCATGTTGGTCACCTGGACTGAGACAGTGAAGGCTACGTCGAAGAGCGCAGGGTTTCCTCCCTCACCGCCGCCGGCGGGGGGGCCTGGCTTCTGCGTAGTGCTGTATCCCTCTGGATACGGGTACGTCTTCGTCGTGGAGGCGGCGACGGCATCTTTGGCCTCGGACTCGGTGCACCACGAGTAGATGTACCTGAAGATCTTGTTGAAGCCGGACGGCGCCACGCCCTCGGTCCAGGCAGGGATGGGTCCGTCGTAATCGAGGATACCTTCTTTGACCGGCCGGGCTGGAGGTGTGGCGGTCAGGGGCGTCACGGAGCTAATGGTCGCGTTCGAGTAGGAGAAGGTGGTGTAGCTCAGTCCGTGGCCGAAGGCGAAGCGCGGCTTGATGCCATTCTTGTTGAGGTAGCGGTAATCGATGTAAAGCTTTTCCGTGTATGTATCTTGGGGTTGGCCGAAAAGTTGGACGCTGAGCAGTTTGGTGACGGAGTCAGGCAGGTCGGACTCCTGCTTGGTCATGCTATACGGAAGATGGCCAGAGGGAGAGGCTTCACCGAAGATGATGGAGGCGAGTGACTCACCAGCCTCTTGGCCGGGAAGATGGGCGACGAGAACGCTCTTGACGCTGGGAAGATCAATCCACTCGTCCACGAGGACGGGACCGACTGTGTGGATGACGACCACAACGTTTTGGTACTTGGCGGCCGCATCCTTTACCAGCTGGTCGCCGTTGTAATAGGCGTTGAGGCCAGTGGAACTGCGATCTCCGGCGTTGCCCTCTACAGTGTACGAGTTCTCACCAGAGTCGGAGGAGATGAACACAAATGCCACGTCGTCGGCCGTGGGCGCCGGGACCGACGGGAAAGAGTCCGTGTTGTAGTAGACGACATTGCTGGACCTATTCTTAAAGGCACTAAGCGGATCGTCCATATACTCGTAGTTAACGGTTCCCGAGCCCCAGCCGATGCCGAGAGTGCCCTTGTTACAGGACCTGTCGGCACAAGCATTGGGTCCGTCGGGGTTTGTCTGTGCGCCGGTGCCAAAGATCTTGATCGGCGTTGAGGTAGTGATGGGCAAAAGGCTACCGTTGTTCTTGAGCAGCGTGACGGCCTCCTGCGCGACCTGTCTTGCGACGAGGTAGTGATCGGCCTGCACCTGGACGAATTCGTTGACGACGCCGCTTGGGGAGAAGGGCCAGGCTGCGGGGTACAGGTCTGCCACCCTACTGTTGCTGTTGGTATCAAAGTTAGTCGGCGGAAACGACTCGTCCTGCCCCATCTGATACCAAGCTGCCAGGACCCTGGTGGCCATGTCGTTTATGCGGTCCACAGGAACCGAACCGTTCAGAACAGCGCGCGTCAGGTCGTATGCCCAATAACTGTACCCAGTTAAAGGTATCTGCTGGTCGCCTGGCGCATCGAAGTCAAGCCCAGCTAGGGCAGACCCAACACCGGACATGTGCGAAAGCCAGTCACTCATGACGAATCCTTGGAAGCCGAGCTCGTCCTTCAAGATGCCGTTGATCAAGTAGCTGTTCTGGCTGCATGCTGAACCGTTGACCTTTCGAAATGTCAGTTGAAGGACTTCACATGTGATGAACAGTAGCAGATAAAAAAAAAGGGACTGTAAAAGAAGTGGTTGTCGCCAGATTACGCATGAGATGATGTCGGATAGTAATCAACTCACCGCGTTGTAGGCAGTCATGACTGATCCAGGGCCTGCTCTAAGGGCCATAGCAAATGGGTATAGATACAGCTCATGGAGCGTCCGGTCGTCTATTCGGTTAACTCGGTTAGTGATCAACCATCTCGCTCACACGAGAGGGGGCTCTCACCAATGTTGGCACTGTAACCTTCCCACAAGGGCGTGTACATGCGTGCAATCTCCTGCTCATTGCCGATAAGATGCTTGACTGTGGCGATGACACCCTGCTCCTGTACTCCCTTCACAGTCAAGTATGCGGCGTGACCGTTAAGCGCAGGATCGGTTCCAAATCCTTCCCAGTTTCGGCCGCCTCTGCAGATGGGATCAGGATGATGGCGGCACATTCGCGAGTGGATTCACTCACCTGGGCTTTCTACCCATGGGCCCAACCATGGGTCCCAAAAACACGTTGGCGCCCTTGCCCCGGAACTCCTTGCCCATTGCAACGGCTCTGGCGTACATCAAGTCCTTGCTGAAGGTAGCTCCAGTCGTAATACCGGCCGGGAATACGGTGACGTTGTCAGCTAGACGAACGCCGGTTGCCGAGTCTGCAAGGCATAGTGAAGGGATGCCGAGCCGGGGGATGCTGCCGGAGTTTCCAACACAACGGCTTGGCCTAGTTAGTACGAGCTGGTCAAACGGACAGATAAGACGTACCCTACATGTGTGTTAGTGAAGTCGAACATTAGCTGAAAAGGTCAATATAATACCCATATATAAGCCAGTGCCAGTCGTTAGATTTGTCTTTTCCGCCAAAGTTAACTGATTTACAATTAATTTTGCTTTTCGGTAGCTGTCGGACCAGTCCGAGACCCAGCCGCCGTACGGGGCTGGGTAGTACGGCGCGGCGACATAGCCGGCAGGCACGGCGTCTCTTGGATTGATCACGGCGCCATCGCACAAGGAAACCTGGCTGGCGAGGAGACCTATGGCCAGTGATTTGACGGAGAATGTGCTCGCCATGGTGCTGGTTGGCCCTTGACACTACTTGGAGCTGCAGTCGAAGTAGAACCTGAGCACAGAAACACGTGGTGAGATGACACGAGGGTGACACGGGCAGACGATCCAAAAGCGACTGTGAGACTTCCCCAGCGCGGCATTCTTATATATGCGTGGGAACTAATCCTTCGTCGGCTTCGCACTCGACATGTTGACGTGCGGACCCAATCACAGTCTTGGGGGGCGAGTGATATTGGATGCAAGGATAGCCGTGCAGAAAGCAGATGGTTCATACTACGTAGTAAGAACTCGACACCGGCCAAAGGGGGGCTGCGGGCACGAGGGTGCAACATTGCAGCACGTAAGGGTTGCACACTGCACTCTTGGCGGCTGGGCTTTTTGGGCATATGCCTGTCAAGGTCTAGCATACTACGTAGATATAGCGTAAACGAAACAATGTGGTCACGGTAGAGTTACTTACGCAGTAGTAGCAGAAGGCGGGGGGGTATATGCCCGTCGATAATATTTCTGGGTCTTAGCGGGAGCCTGGAGGTAAGAAAAGGCAGGTGAAGCGGCAGGTGGCAGCATTCTCAGGCACGATCTAGGGCGTTGAAATTAAACTCTGGGAAGCCCCACCTCTGGAGCGCGGGCGTAGTTACCGTAAATGGACTATGGTCTGGTTTACGTAGTATTCAATAGGACGGGGAATGGATGCAAATGACCACTTGTCGTGTGCGTGACCTGGAGGGAAGACCTGACTAGCCTCGAGCGGTCAATAAAATGTTGTCCCATCGGCCCGGCTCCGACGCGGGGAAGGGCTGCCAGATCATCAGGCACTGCACTGCACTGCATTGTGCGCGTGGTTGCCAGCTAGTTGATGATGCCCCGACGAGTCTCTAAAGCCTATTCTTGAGCTGGCGAGGTCGGGTCCCTGAGGCGCCTTCATGTTACATAGTAGTAGGTACGGATATACTACCAGGAAACCTACAAGCGAAGAGCGGATCGCCCAACGCAAACCAGCGGTAGAGGTCAATGACAGGGAACAGGGATAGCACATGTTGGGTTTCGGCTGTTGACTGCCATGGCTGCATGAAGAAAGGGGAATTGGATGACGGTGAGAACCATCAAAATGTGCGCGTGATGAATCGACTACGATGGTCGATGAGATTCCTGGAAGGGCGAGCAGAAGTAGGTACCCAAGTTGCAGACGTGAGACCATTTGCAATTGTCCATACGGTAATCTTGCCTTGCCTTCCTTGCCTTGCCTAGCTTCGCGGCTGCATCATGCACGCGTGCACCTAGGTATGTCGCTGCATCCATGCTTACCCGATCATCAGGCACCGAAAGGATAAAGAGACGATTCCGGTAGGTCGGCGCATGGAAGCGGGGAAGGCAGGAGAAGAGACAGAGAGAGACAGCTGGTGATAGTGATGGATGGGTGCATACGAACATGGGGGAAGAAGCGGCAGGAAGCGGCATGACATAACACAGTACGTACCTATCTGATAGATCATACCTGGGCGGGCAGGCACGCGTACCTATCAAATAATACGGATATATCCCACTCCTTTTGAACAACACATTTTTCTGTGCCTCACTCTCGCGCGCATCAATAGTTTGCATCGGCGCATGGTTGCATCTTGCTCACCCCCAATCACATTCACATGCTTATTTCATGTCTTTTTTTCCGATATGGCAAAACTTAAACTTGGCAATCCGTCATTTCCTTGAATCGGCTCTACTCGGCCGATTTACTTACTCAAATCGGAAGCTGGGAGCGCAACGCCCGCGCGATATTGTGGCACGCCGTCTCTTCCCCCCCCTCTTCTGTGCCCACCTGTAATAGCCACCACGTATTATTTATTACACAAACAGTCTACTGCGTCTTGGTGCTCCGGACCTCCTACGGTAGTTCGGACACAAACATCCAGATGTGGGTAGCATTTTGCTGAGCTTTAGCGGGCCACGTGCAGGAACAAACTGGAGTTGTTATTATATTGCAATAAACTTATAGGTGGACCGCGCACAACCGCGGCCGAGTATAACCAGTTCGTCCGCACAAGAGTCTGCCAACCAGCTTGTGACCACTTGGGTCTCTGCCGACTTAGGCGCTATTGCTTCGATAGAGCCCAACAGAAGTGGAATCTACCCAGCAACACCCTTGCTCGTTACAGCTCAGGAACCACCATTTAGACAACGCTGCTCAATGAGTGATAAGCCCCGCGACAGAGAGGCTTGGCTCACGTGGCGCCTATTGGTACATACCATGTATCCGTATAGTACTATGTAGTAAGTGGCTCCCCCCAGTCTCGGACTTCACTATCACGACTCGCTGCCACCCAGCCACGCTGAGCCTCGTCCTGACCTCCGACCATGCCGTACAGCCGCACGCCTCTTTGCCACCTTCAGGGTTGATGCACGTTGATAGATCAATATCGATTCCGCGATGCAAGACATGTTCTCATTCTATATTTCACACATACACACAGTAGTACAGCGAGGATACGCCGCTACTCATCAACACATCAATCCCAACTATATCATATTCCAGACTCTATCCTAACCCAAACTCTACCCTAATCCTAACAAACACTACGTGACGTATTGTTACTACAATTAGAGTTTCTATATAGCTTAAAGGAAATTAGGATATTGGTTATACAGATGTGGGGTTGAATCCTAAATTATATCGAATTAATGGGATTTAACGGTGGATGAGATGGCGCCCATTGGACAATGAATGCCGTTCATCCCGCACCGCTTGCTTGTGCACTGTTTCTAGTCACGTTCGCTTGACCAGACCAGGATTGTGTGGGATTTAACGGCGGTAGGTGCGGGGGCGGGGTTATATCACGGCCCATTGGACAACGGATGCCGTTCATCCCGCACTTACCCCGGCACACCCACCTCCAGTCAACACGTTGGGTTGCTTCCGGATCCCAATCTCTCTTCGAGGCGAATGGGTTCAGAAGTGGGATACCACCGGAGACCCAACAGTCCGTTAAGAACCATGAGTGGGCGCCGGCCCACACCGCACTCTATTCCTCCGTCCCCGCCTATGCGATGTATAAGATGTCGTGGGCCGCGCGACGATGGTTAGACCAGCCGCCCTCCTGTTCTTTTTGCCCCAGGAGCAAGTCCTCGAGTTCCGTTATTGCTGGCCTTACTGATACTACACGTCCTTCATCATGTTGGCCAAGCTGTCTCTCCTTCCTCTGCTGTCCGCCGCAGTCGCGGCGACTCCCCTTCTTGGTGCCAGAGCCCCTGTGGCTGCACTCGACAAGAGAGGTAAGAGTGCCGGTTAAAGTGTCTTTGGAGCCGCCGCTGACTTTGCATTAGACGTGACCGTGACTGCTGGCGACTTGTCCAACTTCGAGTACTACATCCAGATGGTCGCAGCGAATGATTGCAACGACGGTGCTCCCGCCAATGCCACCATCACCTGCACCGCGGACGCCTGCCCCGACGTCCAGGCCAACGGTGCAACAATGGTTCAATACTTCTCGTAAGTTTACCTTTTGCAGTTACCGATTCCTAGCCCGGAGCTGATACAGACCTTTAGCGGTGCTATTACCGGACTCCAAGGCTTCGTCGCCTTGGACCCCACGAGGAAGAACATTGTCCTCTCCATCCGCGGCTCCAGCAACATTCGCAACTGGTTGACCGATTTCACCTTCGTCTTACAAGACTGCGACTTGGTTGATGGCTGCCAAGTCCACACCGGCTTCGCCGCCGCCTGGAACGAGGTCAAGGCGGATGTCTTGAGTGCCATCCAGGCCGCCAAGGCTGCCAACCCTAGCTACACCATCGTCGGGGCCGGCCACTCCCTCGGCGCCGCTGTCGTCACCGTTGCCGCCGCCTATCTCCGTGTCGAAGGCTATCCCATGGACATCTACACCTACGGCTCCCCTCGCGTCGGCAATGCGGCCTTTGCCGACTTCGTCACCGCCCAGCCCGGCGCCGAGTACCGCGTCACTCACATCGATGACCCCGTCCCCCGCCTGCCCCCTCTCATATTCGGCTACCGCCATACGAGCCCCGAGTACTGGCTGTCTACCGGCAACGCCACCACGGTCGACTACACTCTTGCCGACATCATAGTCTGCGAGGGCAACCACAACACCACTTGCAACGCCCGCCTCACACTCGGACTCGACACCCAGGCTCACTTGTACTACTTCCGCCTGGTCAGTGCCTGCAACACCGAAAGCTTCGGGTTCCGCGCGAGAGGGGAAGATATCTCGGATGAGGACCTCGCGGCGCGCCTCGCGGCCTGGGCCGCTCAAGACGTCGAGTTCAGCAAGACTTTGGATTAAACCGCAGAACCCCACTTATTAATAATGTACATACTTACGAACTAAACGGCACACATATCACGGCATGGACGTAAAGCAGGAGCAGGCTTTCTTTCTGGGGCAGAGATACTATCAGAGCATGTCGGAACCAGGATTTTGCAGCGTTCCCGTGGTTGGTACATATTTTCGCGTAGTAAATAGTGGTTAATTTTTCATCTTTGCCGACTTCCGACGTTCAAATCCGCCACTTCATTTCTCTCGCGTCACTCAGCGATGGGGGTGTTCTCGGCGCAACGACACCATGATGACAGTACCAGTACGGAGTATTGCTGTCGGGAAGCTCTGAAATATTTCCCGAAATATTTGCCACCGTCCGGGATGCGTAGGGAATTTCAGGGCCCGGAACCATGTACCTGACTCGTCACTAGACTGCACCATCCCGTGAGCCTTGAACAGGCAGTTTGGTCAGATTCAATGATACTCCCCCATTCCAATATTGGCAAGGCCCGCGCCCCTTCACATAAAGACCTATTTCAGCTAGGTAGCCTGAAGCTGTGAGCGGAACTCGACAGCAAGTTGGTCAGCGACACGTGGGGAGACTCGGTTTTGCGGGACGCTCTCAATGTCTCACGCACACTGCAATCGAAGGGGACGCTGAAGTCTACCTAATAACTGGATTCGAAGTCCAGATTCATTGAGCAATGTGGACCTAGCTAGCCGAAGCCAAGTCTACCTACCTAATTTAAGAGACCAAAGCGTAACCATGATTCTGATGTTTCAGAAATGCGGTCCATAATCGCAGCTATAGTGCCGCCGCAATAAGGGTATAACAAGGACACGACGTACGCCCAACTCCATAGTGGCCCGGGTCAAGGCCCCAATGCGTATCCTTTCCTAGTCCTCAAAGCCATCGACAAACCATACCCACTGGCCAGACAAGCTCAAGATCCACGGAAGAGGAACTGCATATCCTGAGGGCTCAGGGACTCCATAGCCTTGTCGTCGGCGTTGACAGTTGAGTTGATCATGTTCGTCTTCTTCTCCTGGATCAAAACCATGCGGCTCTCGACAGAATCCTCGATACAGAGGCGGGTGATGGTGCAAGGGCGGGTTTGGCCGATACGGTGGCACCGATCAGCGGACTGCCACTCGGCGGCGGGGTTCCACCAGCTGTGATTTTGTTAGCCAACGTCAGACCATAGGGCACAAAATACTTACGGGTCGACGATGAAAACACGCGACGCTTCCGTAAGGTTCAAGGCAACACCGCCAGCCTTGAGAGATACGAGAAAGCACTCGCAGTCCGTCTTCGTCATGAAGTGGTTGATGGACGCTTGACGCTGGGCAGGATTCATGCTGCCGTCCAGCATGACGGTGGTGATGCCGGCACGGCGGAGTCGCCACTCGATGAGCTGAAGCATAGACGAAAACTGCGAGAAGATGATGGACTTGTGAGACGCGTTGTCGGAGCGAAGCTTGTGAAGTTCATGAACGAGGAGCTCAATCTTGGACGAAGAGGTCCACTCCTCCATCTTGATCCGATTGATAATCGACGACTTCTTAACGTCGGCCTCGTTCTGCTCGATCTCTGGCTGCTCCAGGTCGATGGCCAAAAGAATGTGGCATTTGGGACAGTCGGGCTGATCGTTAGCCGCGAGCCAGGTTCTAGCACAGGCGCGACAGAAATCATGCTTGCAGCGGCTCCTGATGCAATCCTCAGCAACCTCGTCACACAGGTTGCACATGAGCGTGTTCTGACCGCCCTCGCCGTTCTTCCGCAGGATCAAATCAGGATGGTCGGCAACCTGGCGCATCTGCATGATGAGACCAAAGATGTTGGCGTAGTTGTTGAGCAACACACCCTGAGCGACGTAGGTATCAAATTTGCGCTGACCGTTCGTCATGATGCTGTTAGCAAAGTCGTTCTCAACTTCGCCGAAGAATTGGCGGTCTACGTAGACCTCCTTGACGGGAAGCTCCATGGAATCCGTGTGATCCTTCTTCAGGCGGCGAAGCATGATACGATCAGTCATCGTGCGAAGCTTTCGGAAAGCATCTGCGCCTTCTCCCATGTTGCCCCACTTCTGAATGGGCGTGAGCAACTCCTGGTTGAACACGGAAACATGCTGCATGCCGGCATGGTGGCACTGGCGGCATCGATGGTCATCATCGAGGTCCCAGTCCAAGCTGGCGCAGGGACACTGCTTGCAGAAGTACGAGGCGAAAGGCTTGACCTGTAGGAAACGGACCAGGGAGAAAAACTCGCCGATGCGGTTCTGCAGCGGGGTACCGGTCAAGCACCATCTGAAGTCAGTCTTGAGGGCGAAGCAGGCCTTTGCCGTCATGGTGGTTCGTGTTTTTATGCTGTGAGCCTCATCTAGTATGATGCGATGGAACTCAATCTGGTGTATCAGACTCCGCTCTTTGTAGATTCCATCCTTGCGGGTGAAGCCTTTCTCTTGTTTGCGGTACATGGACTCTAGGCTGTTGTAAGACATCATGATGACATCGAACTTCTTCAGTTCCTTGAGGCTGACGTTCTTTGCCTTGGCCAAGGAACCGTGATAGACAAACGTCTTGAGCGTGCCGTCAGTGTAGGCAGTGATCTCCGACTGCCACTGCATTAGGGCGACGGGCGGTACCAAGACCAAAGAGGGCTTCTTGGAGGGAAAATCGGACATTATCAGCGACACCGCCTGAATGGTCTTGCCGAGGCCCATCTCGTCACCGAGGAGGCCCCCCCTATAGTCGGTCTGCTCCATAGCAATCATCCATGCAACACCCTGTAGCTGGAACGGCTTGAGCTGGCGCGAGATTTGCTTGGGTTGTGCGATCTTGTCGGGCCTCAGAGGCGGCAAAGCCTCGAGCTCCTGCCACATGGTCAGAAGCTCAGGGTGATGATGCACTAATCTATCACGCTCAAGCTGACCTCGTCGCTTGGAGCCACGTTGAAGAGCACGTCGCCCACGAGACTGTCTGACAACGGCGTTCTGGAGGCGTCCATCACTATCGGACGCGGTGGAGACGGTCGAGGCGACGTTGCTAGCGTCGCTGTCATCGGTGGAAAAGCCCGAAAGGCTCGACAAGGCGTCCTCATCGTCAACCACAAGCTCTTCAAGTGCCGCAGGCGGTTGGGTGGAAGAAGAGGCTGTGTTTCTGGTCTGTCTGACGGGCTTCTTGCCCTTGGACGCCGATTTCTTGGGTTCAAACTCGTCACCCGAGTCTTCTTCGTCCGATGAGAGACCAAAGTCAGCGCCATCATGCTCGTCCTCACGCGCGGAAGCGGCCAATTCATCTTGATCTTCATGGTGAAGGATGTTCTTCTGCCTTTTCGTAGGTCGCTGCGCGAGGGAGATGTTGCTCCTAGCAGGTCTACCTCGCTGGCGGCCGCCAGATGTGACTCGGGCAGCAAGAGGTATGTCTTCTGACATTTCAGCGTCACTGTCTGTGATAGCTGCCTGGGTAGAAGTCATGTTGCTTCGACCGCGTCGAGTAGTGACGAGGGCATCGGGGTTGTCCGTTCCGAACTCCTCTTCCTGAAGACGTCTAGCAAGGGCAGCATCCGAAAGTCGAGTAGTCGTTTTCGCTTTGCGGTTCTCCTCTTTCTGCAGACGACGAGCGACGATAGCATCGCGGTCATTGTCGGAGTACTCCTCGTCGTCCTCATCATCGCTACCTCCAGTCTCAGACCGCTTGCGCTTGATGGGTGCCATAGAGTACTGGCTGCGACGGAGAGCGCGCTCACTCTGGAGGCCAGCAGCGGTGGGGAGCTGTACCTCAATCTTGGAGGCGATTCTGCGAGACCCAAGACCATCTGCGGTGATGGACGGTGCGGGTGTGGCGACATTGCTAGTTGCCGGGGTGGAGTCCTCGCTAGCTGAGGTGAAGTCGGCAGATGCAGCAGCAGAGGGGGCTGAGGAGACCGAATCATTGGCAAGGGAGGAATTCTTGCTAGGCCGGCCTCTGCCTCTCTTCGCAGCGGAAGGGGCTGAAGTGACAGACTGAGCCGGAACTGCAAGGTTCTTGGCCGAAGCAGATCTGGTGAGGCGGCGGCCTATACCAGTAGGTGGAGCAGCGTCGGGTGAGTCTAGGTAACGTCAGATTGAATGTCCTCTGTAGTTACATCCATGTGAATGTGCAAAGAGTGAGTATAATTTTGCGCGGTGTGAATACTTACTGCTTCGGGTGGAAGCCAGGCTCTCCTCTGCGGCGAGTGCAGCACGAGCACGGCGACTAGTCATTTTGGCGGTGGCCGTAAGCTTTGCTGTAGATGAACTTGTTGGATCGCACCCTCTGCACTAAAAAGACGAGGAAGAAAAAAGTTCCCTCAGGGCCCACGATTCACAACAAGATGAAAGTTTGATGTCGCTTGAATTGAAGGAAGTTGGGATGACCCGGAACAAAGTTTGGCTGATGGTGGCGACAGTCTCAGCTTATCGCCGAAGTAGCGTAGAGACTGTGTGCGCTTTGCCAGGGGGGGGGGGGGATTGGGATTGGTTGTAGAGAGAGAGAAAAAAGAGAATTGCTGAATCAAGCTGGCCTTGGATGAAGGTAAAGGTTGCGGTCTGAAAGGGCAAGGTGTAGATGGAAGGAAGGAGAGGGGGAAATGGTTAATGGCGGTTCAATGACTGGGTAAGGAAAGAGCCGGTCTTATTGCCACCAAAGACTCCTTTTTTTGGGTAGACTGGCTGGGAAGAGAAGAAAGCCGGACTAGAGGGGAGGGAGAGGACTCTGAGACGCGCCCTTCACTGGCGGGCTCTGTACACGAAGTCACATGATCTTCCTTTGTTATGAACAGTAGCTACCTAGGCAGGTACCTGGGCACCTGGGGAAAGGGCGTTGGCGGCAACCGAGAAAAAAAGTTTGTTAGCTGGTGCCCTAGCCATTTTGAAGAGGTGGTTCTGACGCTGTTGATGCAACCACTTTGACATGCTGCACGTGGAGGCACTGCAGCTAAGTAGCTTCATGTACCTACTTGACCCTGGCTGCTGGTTTCTATTGAGGTGGAAAATACACTTTCCAAGTCATTGGAAACCCTATGTGATTTAATTGTGTCGCAACTGTCCGGTTCTACGCAAGGTTTACAATAGCATTCAGATGCATACTTACTGTCAAACAAAAAAGGTGGTCAATGTCATGTCTAGGTAGGTATGGAGGAGCTCCAGTGTGACGATTCGATTTTGGGGGGGCGATCGATCCAGTCCCCGAAGTCTCCGGTGTAGTGGCTCCTTCCACCAAAAGCTGTGCCTGCCCCACATCTTCCCGTCAACTTGCTGGTCCCACTTCAATTAAAACCCCTGGTACCTGCTGTGCTGCCTAGCCTAAAATACAGTTTCTATCAACTCCTGCTTCGAATTCTCGCACGGCGTGCTTTCATAACGTGCCCACCCATGGCACTGCTTTGACACTCGGCTTAATACTCAGCTTGACAATCAGCAGCACAGTGCAGAACCAGCTACGCTCCAAACAGAATCCGAGGGCCTGGTCCCGTCTTGCTTGTATGGGACAAGGAGGAGAAGCAGCTTACAACAGAAGAAAGGTACGTCTCCACCTCCCTTCGAGCCTTTGTCGCCTCTTTCCAATTTGCCCCCAAGTCCCTTCGGAGCTGTGGTGTTCTAGATCTTTACTGCGATTTCCTTTTCCCTCTTTCCTGTTTTCTTCTAATCCAAAGAGTTTTATCTCATCGTCGTTCTTGAGGTTGGTTAAGCTCATTCCTACCCCCTACAAGCTTGAGGTCTGCCATTTGCCATTTGCCACAACAAGCCAATCTGGGGTTTGCTCAGTCTTGACAGTACTCTAATCATCCCATCGCTAGGCTTATCATCAAGCTTCATCGCGATAAGCAACTTTCAAGTGAGAGACGAGGAAGAGTCAAGGTTCATCAAGACTTGTTTCGCAAGATAAGGCTCCAAGATGGTGCGCCCGACTCGTCAGCGGGCTCAGGCTCAGGCCCAAGGCCAGAATCAGAACCAAGCACAGCCTGCCCAGCAAACCCAAGATTCTCAGCAAGATCAAGCTGCTCCGCAGACCCAGGCGCAGGGCGCTAATCGCCCCGCCCGCCATATCTCGGGACCGTGAGTATCTTAGAACCAGCCTCTCTACACCACATGACTGGCTAACATGATGTAGGCAATCTGCTTTGACAGACTACCTTGCTGTGGGCTCCCTTATAAACCACCTTCACCATTGTGTACTGACCACTCACTCTTCTCACAGTCCCACAACATCTCTGCAAACCAGATCCGTCGCAACGCTGACCAGCGTCGTGCTGCTGCCGCCCGAAGCCTCGAGGCCCAGGGTGGCAACAATGCTGAAGATGGAGAGGAGGCAGCCGGTCCTTCGACCGAGCCCACCGAGACAACTGAGAGCGCTCGCAATGAGACTTCAGCCGAGAGAGATAAACGCAAGAGGAAGGAGCAGCAGGCGCTAGCGAAGATCAAGGCGTCCAAGTCATTCAAGAAGCGGAAGCGCCATGCTGAGCACTTCACTGGCGTTTCCGAGGACGACGACGACTTTGCCCGCACCATCTTCAACCAGCGGGAAAAGCCTATGCCTGGCCAGATGGACAACTGCGCCATCTGCAAGAAACGCTTCACTGTTACGGCCTACTCGCTTACTGGGCCTGAAGGCGGTCTTCTTTGCGCTCAGTGCAGCAAGGATCATGCTGCAAAGAAGGGGAAAGGTGCGAAGAAGCCTCGGAAGTCACTTGGCGGCCAGGGCAGCCGTCGCAAGGTGCAGAGTAACATCCTCGACGGCACCTACCAGACTGGAGCCAAGGATTTGACCACACTTTGCATTGAGACGCTTGCCAAAAACGTCGACCTTGCCGACAGCTTGGGTGATCTGCCGGATAAGGTTGTCGACAAGATTGCTCGGCTCTTTTCCAAGCGTCGACTGCTCACTCCGGAGACGCTTCCACTGTTCGTGCAGCCCTCGACCTTGACTGTCAAGATCTATGACGGCGCCAAGCTGGGTCCAAATGACTTTGAGGGCATATTCCAGACCGCCAGCGGTCTTCAGCATTTCAAGGCCCGCAACGCCATCCAATTCAAGGACGAGGTCATGGACTATCTCTTGACACGCGACACCAAGATTCTGTCCTTCAACATCCACGGGGCAAACTTGCTCAGCGATAGTAGCTGGTCTATGTTCATCTCAACAAAAGGTGCGGACCTGGAAGCCATTCAAGTCTACTACACGGATAGACATTTTGGGGACGAGATACTTAACCAGCTTTCGATTAACTGCCCAAAGCTGAACCGTCTTAAAGTCTATCACAACCAGAAGGTCACGAACATCGGCGTTAGAGCAATTGGTGACATCAAGACTCTGAAGCACCTTGGCCTTCATTTACAGCATGACATCAGTCCCAAGAGCCTGTCCCACATGATATGTGGTGCGGGACAGTTATTGGAGACGCTTTCCCTGAGAAAGATGCCCAAGTCCAACGACGAGGTTTTGACTGCCATCAAGAACACCTGCCGATCCCTCAGAAAGCTACGCATCACCGACAGCGAGGACATGACAGACGAAGGTTTTGTCGACTTGTTCACCGACTGGGAAAACCCTGCCATCGATGTCATTGACTTCCAGAAGTGCCGACATCTTGAGTCCACCAACCCTCGCAACAACCCAGACGGGGTCGGTCTCTGCTCTGACGGTTTCCGTGCCCTTATGAAGCACTCGGGCGGCAAGCTCAAGAATCTCAACATTCACGCGTGTCGCCACATCAGGCGCGACGCCTTCGAGGACGTCTTTTCCAAGGACGATCAGTATCCTCATCTCGTTAAGCTCGAGATCAGTTTCATTGAAGACGTTGACGACTTCGTCCTTGGCCGTATCTTCCGGAGCTGTCCCAACGTTCGCGAGATCAACGTCTTCGGCTGCATGAAGGTCAAAGACGTCAAGGTGCCAAAAGGCAAGGTCCTTGTCGGAGTCCCCAACGCCATTGGAATGGTAATTGAGGGCCAAGATGATTAGGAATCGAGTCGTCCCGAAGAAGAACGTCATGCATGACTACCAGAGATGGGTGGCTGTGGATCTCAGACTCAATGGCTTTTTGACCGTCAGGTCCTTTGCATTCATGCCAGGAATTATTTTACATTGAATTCCCGCTTATAGAAAGAGTGGTTCTGTCCGCACCGGCAGGCGTTTTCATTCGGAACAGGGTTGGGGGCGTGATAGCCAGACTTGCTATCGAAAAAGTTCAAGGTCAATTCTGATTTGTATCATGGGTCGTTACGGCCTCGACGGGAACAATCACTAAAATAAATTAGCAATAACGGACAGTGATTGACGCGTGTGTGCTGTTTGTCTGCGTTTACGTAGGTGGTATCTGAATCATGTCCGTGTCCCAGCCGCTGCGGAGCAAACAGCCCACTGATTTGCGACTCCGGGCCTCCCGGAAACGTGGAACACGGACAGAAGGTGGCGGCGACTAAAACACCGCCACATCGCTGCTGGGGGTAAATGGATTAGCTCAGCCTCAACTCCCTGCATAATACGATGTACGTAAATAGGTAAGGCTGCGTCGCGTTCAATGTCCACGGGGCATGTTATCCACCCGATCCACTGACTTTCCGTGTCCAATACAGCATTTCGCGGGCTGTTTTTCGTCCACGACCAGCTTTCTCCCGTCCCTGACCGCCATGATACGTTGCTCTTCTTAGCTGTTTCCCTCTCTTTCCCTCGGTGTGAGTGAATGGATGGATCTTGCTTGTTCAAAATCGCCCTCCGTAACAATGTCTCGTCGTTGGGCGCGAAAGGTTGAGCGCTGCTGCTGCACTCTCGCAACCTACATCCCTTTGACCTTCGTCTACGGGTTGACCACCTGGGCCGTTTGGGTGGATGTCGCCATCGGGTCAGCGCCCTCGAAAGCTTCTTGGCTCGGTGAGTAGCATTTCCTGCTCCGTCGTGCCGTCCTCGGCCCCAACTAACGATGCCCTCAAAGGATCCGCGTCGTCCTTCGGCGCCCTTCTCCTCTATGGCTTGCTCAACTGGTCTTATACCACTGCCGTCTTCACAAGTCCAGGCAGCACAACGAACGATGATGGCTACGGCATCCTACCGACCGAGGCCCCGCCGGCCGCCACCTCCTTTACCGTTAAGTCGAACGGTGAGTTGCGATTCTGCAAGAAGTGCCAGGCAAGGAAACCGGACCGCGCCCATCACTGTTCGACCTGCCGTCGGTGCGTCCTGAAGATGGACCACCACTGCCCTTGGCTGGCAACCTGTATCGGCCTCAGGAACCACAAAGCTTTCCTACTATTCCTAATCTACACGACGCTCTTCTGCTTCTACAGCTTCTTTGTCTCTGGCAGCTGGGTGTATATGGAGGTCATTAACAACACGACGTATGTTGAGACGCTAATGCCCGTCAACTATGTTATCCTTAGCGTCATTGCTGGCATCATTGGCATCGTCGTGGGCGCCTTTACTGGATGGCACATCATGCTCGCGAGTCGCGGCCAGACGACGATTGAGTGCTTGGAGAAGACGCGATACCTGTCGCCGCTGAAAAAGCAGATGCAGCACCAGTTTGTCGCCCAGCACAACGGCGAGGGCATCCCTCTACCCGCATACGGGCAGCAGCTCCTGGACATTCACGCGAACGCCCTTCCGGGCATCACACGGCCAGAGGAGGGCGAGGAATACAGGGGTCAACCGGGCGGCTCGAGGCCGATGCATAATTCCTATGAAGAGATGGAACGCGAGCGCGCGAAGAAGCGCTACGAAGAGTACCTCGACGAGCAAGACTCTGAGAAACTCCCCAACGCTTTTGACCTTGGCGCGAAACGCAACCTTCTGCACCTCTTCGGCCCCAAGCCTATCTTGTGGTTTATTCCTATCTGCAACACCACCGGTGACGGCTGGTCATGGGAGCCCAGTCCCAAATGGCTAGCGGCGCGTGAACGGCTTGCTAGGGAGCGCGAGGAGCAGCGTGCCCGAGAGATTAACGCCGGCTGGGGCACTGATGAACCCCCAGCATTCATGCAGAACGCGCCTACCAAGCCGGATGGCGCAGGCCGTCACTACCTCACCTCGCCCCCTCCTAATGCCAATGGTGCACGTAGAATGCCCTCCAAGGCTGACCGGGTGCTGGGGCGTGACCCCAACCTCTACGCCGATGGGTTCCAGGAATCGATGCCGATGCGGAAGCTTAGCCCGCGCGGCCGCGCGCTGGAGGACGATCTCGAAGGCAGCGACCTCGACATGGAAGACCCCGTGGCGGCGGAGCACCGGGCATTGAACCTCGTCACCAATGGCGGCTGGGGACGCAGTGGCGCCAGCGGAGTGTTGAGAAAACACAGCCCAACTTCACCATCGTTCAGGGACCAGCCAAACAATGACGATGACGTGGATTAAGAAAGAGACGGCTCAAAATTGGGGCAGCAATTACGACGCGTTTAGAAAGTGATATTCGAAAGCTTAATCTTGTCATTAAGATTCCCATCGAATGGACTTAGGGCATGGATGCGGCATCGCCTTAAAGTGTATACCAATTTTGTGCATGTGTGTAAAACTTGGCGAAGGAAAACTCGGAAACGTAACGTTCGAAGCATCCGAGATGTATAATGACGTTGAACTCGCTCGAGGGACGGTGTTTGGGGTGTTGGATTCTCGGTTTACGTGGTCCGTCATGGAGTAATATCATGTGAGGGACGAAATGCAAGTCTTCGATAGCGTCTATATCCATTATGAATACCAGATTACATAGATTACGTTTATGCTCCCGTCCTTGACAGTCTTTTCTCGTGGCGTGATGTATTTGGTAATTTTGAGCTCTTGGCGAACGCTACACGCAGTGTCCGCTGCGCTCGATTGCTTCGGTATATCAAAACAAGATCCAGGTGACGTCCATCCGAGGCAAGAGGGCTATTGGAGCAGCCGCCTTGTATTTGTCTGCTGGATTAGCGCCGCGGGCATCCATGCTGTCTCCGTCGGTTGTTAGGTCATATTTGAAAACTAACTGATGCCTGATATATTTGTACCAAAGGCTTTGAGTCGTTTGGCCTTGAGCCCTTCTTCCCTTGCTACTTAGAGGCGGCTTTGAGTTATGCAGCTACAAATGCAAGCCAGAGACAGCTATTTAGGATAAATGGGAGACCATGTCAGTGGCTTGTGGCGAGTTCGCAAGAGCGAGCACTTCACCAGCAATTGGGACTGAGGCCGTTTAGGGTGTGGCCCATGATGTATGCCAACAGTTTATAGCCTCCTTCGACGCCCAATCAGGCCTTTTGCATTGGTATTGCAGTGTTTTTGATGAGTATTTGCCGATTGTACTCCTCGAGAGGCCTGCAGTCTGTCTTCTTAACTGAGCGAGCAATCGTTGAACCGATGATTGCTACGATGACAGTAACACTTATGAACAACCTCTTATGGTTCTTTCTATACTCACGGCGCGTTTAGATGCAGGCAAAAGGTTCTTCTCAACCCTTTCTAAGCAATACAGGCCGTGTAAAGTAATTAAAAGCATACCTTGTAGGCAAGTATCGACGCTAGGCTGCAAACGCAAGCAATTTTCCAGAAGATCAACATACTTGGACGCCTCTTGTTTCACCACTGTACCCTTTGCCAGGTTTTTTTATTCACACCGTCGTGCAGGCGGTATTGATTGTCTTCACAATGTTGATTTGTCTTTCCCCACGAGAATTTTTACAAGCCCAGATGCAGCAGATGGCAATAGACCTTGACATGCCTGCTAAAGGCTTCAAGTCACAGCAATCAATCAGGGCACAGGCCTCCAGAGTCTACCTTGCTTAGAGAAAGGATTTTGCAATCCGCGCATGGTGTTATGATGAAGTATCATAGATCAACTAGAGTCAAACGGCATGTTATCTGCGCTGCGTGTTTGGCTCTTGTTCAACAAAGAATGCCAGCTCTTTCTGCACCCAGATTGAATACCCAAGGTGCTGGTGTTATTCTTCCAAATGTACCAAGCAACTCAGGTTCCGTAGGGGTCTTCTAAGAATCACACGTCCTCTGTAGTAAGCTATGGGAATGAGGAATACAACTAGCTCGAGATGTTTACTTCGCCAGGGGGTCAGTCACACACCTAGTTAATCACCCACTACCATCCATGGAATATATATGGATGCAAGAAATGGAGACAGCTCTCTCTTAAAACTAAGGTGAACATGCTAACGATCAAAGTTATAGGCATCTCAAGAGACCAACCCGAGCTTGAAGGGAACACCCATATAGTTGTCGTCTTGTCTCGTTACTAGCAAGGAGGAACGCTTACAGGCTGAAATTACATGCCACCTCTACACATTTTGAGAGACCAGAATCACCTTATACTTCCTAGTAAGTTGAAGCCTAAACATGTGGGCGCGCCTGTATGACATAGAGAAGACGCATACCAAATTCAGCTAGCAGACAGATGGCATCTGTTCACTTACGACTGTAACCCATTTGTTCTTCAAGTGGTAATCCTCGTGAAATCGGTATTCAGTGTATTGATCGAGTATAATGAAAGAGACTTCAACATTCTGTGGCGCAATGTTTAGGGTGGTTGCCAATTGGTTGGTAGGCCAGGTCTATACAATCCAAACGCATAGAGGTAGCAGCACAACTCTCCCGTTCGAACCTTTACGAGCCTTCAGACTCGACAACTCCTGCGACCAGGACCTAATGCCCAATAGATACATCATTATAACCTTCTGAACTTCAGGTTGACTCTATCGTGATTGTAGTTTACTAAATAGCCGCCCAAAGAAACAATGAAGTTCATCAAAGTTGAAACATACACTTCGACCAAAAAGAACATACTTCAGGGCATTTCCATAAGGACAGGAACGAGGCAGCAAACATACATATTGGTTGCAACTGAGTTGAAGACACAATCAGAATATGAACCGGGCCAGTCTGTTGTGATCCATGATCCCAAAGCTCGAGACTGGGAAATGTATTTGGCATGGATCTGATGGATTGACGTGAAATATCCTTCATACTCCCTGTTTAATGAACAGGAGGGACTTGAGACTTGCGTGACTTTTGTATCACGAGGAGCAGCAAATATGCACTCCAGGCAAAGACTTAGTAGGAACCTACCACATGAACAGCAAATCCCAAACCAGGGCTTAGTCCACCTTGATCAATTAAACCAGACTTCGGAACTGGAGGTTGAAAGCCAACCTGCATCTTGAACGTTGTCAGCCAACCCGCCTCGCCTCATGCAATCGGTTTGCCAGCCGTGGACTCTCAAATCCGAGTCCAGTATTGAGCTCCTCATGACTGTGTAGAGTGACTGACAAAAGGAGAGACAATCTGGGCCTCACGGTATATTTCGCCTTCGTCGTGGTTGCCACTGCTAACCTTCCCACTCATAAGATTGCTCAATGAGAGTGTTCGGATATATCACCACAGGAACCAACCTTTTAGTGTTGAATTTACGACAACAGAGGCAAAATGGGAGCAAATTGAGTTGGAGCTCGCCATGAGCTCGAGTCATCATGGTCTCCTCGAAACTCAAATATACTACCCAATCTACCCAAGTCTCACACTGGGCCCTTGCTTTCTTTCGTCCCAAGAATGGCCGAGGATAAACTTCTGCCATCCAATTGTCAAGAAGAAACATCAACGCTCACATGCCAGACCTTCCATATCATGAAACTGAATTGGCCTCTCCATATCAAATCCTACTTCAGGACTTCGGTAGGAACACCCCTCTATAATCTATTATCAGACTCGAACAACCGTCAATGTTTCCAATCCATTAGTGACACATAGCCATTTCCGACGCTTGTGTCGGAAGATGTCCCGAATACCCACATCCTCGGCCGTCTTGCACCAATTCCAAAAGACAATTGATAATCCTCAAACACGCCCCCTTTTCTCCCCAAGGACGCTCACCCCCTCTTCACCAAAGTGCATTCCACGCCAATATCTGGCAATGCACTGACTCCATATCCCGCGAACGAGGATCCATGATTCCCTGCCTTACTACAAACTTCGACAACATCCCTCACCCCTCCCGGCTTGACTTGATCGTCAGACAACGCGTATCCTTTTCGCTCATTTACAGCAGACCCCGCTCAATACCCCCTGCTTGGCCTCCCTCAAACGAAACACGCCACCGCGTTCATTTGCGTGGGCGGGTTTACGTTGAGCAGAACACGCACTCGCAGACTGGAGACGTGCTTCATATTACAGCTAACACGTCTCGCCGGCCGATCATCAGTCACTTCGTCCGGGTCTGGGCGCTTCGGGCCGGAGTCGTTGTATAGAACAATGATCTCAACTGTCATGATTTGAGAACCTCACACACTCCTGTCGGCCTCTTGTTTTCGGATCCGTTTCCTCCGTCACGGTTCCGGCCGCGCTGGAAGTCTACTGCCACTGTGCGTTCCGCCTCTATTAGAGACAATCACAAACCACGTTAAGCCCTTATCTCCTTCGCCATCTAGTATACCCCAAGTGAATATTGAGTTCTGCTAATCTATATGTGTCACCCAAGTCCACGGCATTTCTATTGAACCCACCGCGAATCATGCCACGATCCCAGAGGGCATCGATCTTGGTAGGTAGGTGCGTCAGAAACCTGTTGGTTCCGCCGTCCCGGTCCATGATAAGCCCAGATACTGTTCGTCTCTGTTCCATGACCCGTGCTTCCTTTCATCTCTCCAAGGCCTGGACCCTTCTGTACTGCTTCGTCTCATCGATCAATACCCCACCGATGTCGCAGCAGGCCAGCGAAAGGCATTTGCATTGCCGATGGACTTGGGTGAGGTCTCATTTGTTCGGGAAAAGGCAGAGATATAGGTATGGGCTCATGGGATATCAGAGATTGGGATAGAATTCGTATGCTCAACCAGTATGCCTCTGCATGAGTGTCTCCTCCGTCGGCGACCAAATGAAGATTTTGCCTTCACTCTCGCAGCGCACAGTCTAAGTCGATCCTCGGCTCACAACCATCCTCACCGCCCGCACCAGAAGTCATACGTTCAACAGACTCCTGTGCGACCTCGCGGACCTGCTGCGCTGCCAGCATTCGACATATCTACCGCCTCGTCTTCCTGCAACACCCCAATAACATACAAACCGTCGCTCCTCAAGACGAGCTCTCATATTACACGCTAAATGGTAGTCACGCGCACAACCTTCACATCCCCCTGGTAATATCATCAAACGCAAACAACCTCACAACGGCTAGCAGCTCGAAGCCTCATGCACAAAAAGCCCGCGGAATATCCTCACGAGCTGCCCACGTATCACTATGCCGGTTACTGTCCTACCTCCACGGTTCTACCCAGCGCCCCTCTCCCTCGACTGACTGTAACTCCCACAATCGCCTTGTCGCGTTTCCTTCCCCTCTTACACACTCTCGTACAGACCGCGAGATCAACCGGTTGATCACCCTCCTCCTCAGCCCCAATCTCACTTACGCAGTCTTGTCTCAAACCCATACCTCAGTGATCCCAGCCGTCAGCTCATCCCCCGCCCCCTCCTCCATCTTGGCCATGCGTTCCCCCCACCCTCCAAAGATATAGGCAGGGTCAGTGATCCCCAGTCCAGGCCAAGGGTAGCTACTGCGAGGCTCACATCATCCATCACCCCAGTATCACCGCCCATGGGGTGGCGTGGCCCATTAGTCAATGACATCTGATATCTGAAATCACAACATATTTCAGAGATGCGCCATGGAAGGCAATGACTAATACCTCGTTGGATATCATGTCCCGTTACACAGTCCTATTCTGCAGAAAACCGCCCACAAACCTCTCATATATCACCGGCAGATCCAGTAAGTCCCGCTGGGAAGGTGGGTGGGGGGGTACAAACGAGTGAACCATACCTAATGAGGCAGCACTCAAAAGTTGACACAATATGCCGATCCAGATGGGGCAGTATCACGAACCAGTGACATCGAGATACTCGAAACCCCTTCTCCGCCTTACTCGATCTCCTCGTGCCTTTCGTTACATCGTATCTACCTCCGCTAAGACCGCACCTCACTCCGCAAGCTCCGGGGTCTTTCATCCGTCAACCCCACCTACCTTGACCCTTCCATCAACCTCATGCCAATCTCAAATCGCCTTGCCGTCGGACCAACTGCATCCCCTTGTTCACTGGGGGGGGGGGTAACCTGCAGGACAAAAGCACCCAGAAGGTCAACACCTAGCCCCACAAATCGCCATTAATGCATCTGACGAGCTCAACCATCTGCCTTCCTCCTCTCGCACCCTATAGCATCACGATCCATAAGCCACATCACTCCCTTATCCCCACGTGGGTTCCGAGTCAAAGGTCTTTCGTACGTCCGCGGTCGAAATCGAGGATCGTGTACGACTGGATGGGCGGCCGACAGATGAGGGTCCGAACGAATTGTCCAATCCACATGCCGAGCGAGCACAGTCCAATAACCCCCCTGTCCGCATCCATGACAAACTGCCCACGGTTTCTGTCCCCCTGACGCCGCCGCCTCAAGGTGAGCAGTCAGGTCTAGCCTCTCACCGACATGTTTGATGTCTGCCCTTGTCCGCCACACCCCGAGCCTACCTACCCTTGAGCCTCTGACCAACCGTCAAGTATCACATCACCAGGCTCAATGACCGCATCCACGCGCCCCCTCCGTGACCCTTGCCAGACTGCTGCCTTCTACTGACCCTCGGAAGCCCCTCCCCCTCTCCCTGCTCGATAAAGCCTGCGTAATTGTCTGCAAAAAAGCTGACGAAAGCACTAGGAACTGCCGCTAACGAAGGGCCAGCCCGTAGGCTGTTGCTCCCCCTTGCTCATGACCCCCCTGTTCTGCATCTACCCTCCATCAGGAATTTCCATATTGGTATTTTCCACTCAAAAAGCCACAGGCTGCCTCACTTATGAGTAGCCCGAAAGGGCTCTCGACTTCGTTATCTTCGTCTCCCCTGTTGGCTTGTGACATGCGTGCCTTTCTGCCGCCACTGCAGTCGTGTAAGCAGGCAGCTCTCACGCAACACGTGTCAAAAAAGAAGTGTACATTGGGGATGCTTCGTCCATGTCGGTGCGAATCTCGCGTCAGACCTGAGGCTCTGCATGGGCGCGGGAATGCACTGCGTCATTGTAATAGAGTGTCGGCTCGACCCATCTCGCCTCGCCCCTGATGTCCTGCCAATGGCACCGGCACACGGACGACGCCATCGCCAGGGGCCATTTTGACAGTCAGGTGGCTGGGGGGCCGTATATCCTAGTGATAGAAACATACCCCATCGACAGAGATAGGGGCACCAACATCCAGGTGGTCGGTGTCGATCGAGACCGCCTACAGATCCCAGTCTCCAAGGTACAGGCTCCTCTGAAGGGGGGGAAGCCAGACACCCCTGAACGAGGCAGCGAGGGTAATCTCGCTGGCTTTCGCGTAGTTCTGCCAAGAAAGAGCCGTGTAGTGCCCTCACAGCACTTTCTGACCTGTCTACCTGCGCTACTGGCGACGAACAGGACCAGCAGGGATACGATCAGCCATGAGCAGTGGGAGCTGTCTAGTGTCGGGGCACTTCCTGGGGTACGGCAACGGCGCCAACGGCCATATAAACGGATGAGCGTTGCATAAATATCAGATCCGACTCGTTTTTTTCTAAAAAAAAAGTGCCGCGAAAAGCAAGACAAGGATAGAAAAGAAAAACCCTCAGCGCAAAGGATAAGCTGCAATGGCTAGAGGCGACGGGTCAAATCTCACCCATAGTGACGTGGCAGACCATGCCACAAGGTCTCTCGAGAATCACAAACATCATCAGCAGACTGCCCTCCGATGGACACTAATACCGGAGTATGCCAGAAGCAGAACGCCGCAGGACCTCCATGCGCCCTCGCTTGCCCAGCTGCCTTGTGGCGAGCAAGCTGCAGTGCCTCTCCCAATGCGACGAGAATCCGCAGTCGCAAATGACTGCTCACAAAGGTCCAAAGGGCAGCCGTCGTCCTCCTTGCTGACATGCGTGAGGCATATAAAATGCGATTCTTCGACAAGATAGAGACGCGCATGCTGCTGCTCATGAGTCAGATGAAGGCGCCAACCCAGGTTAGGATGCCTGAGCTGAGGTGAAGCTCCCCCCCCGGGTGACCGGGCACAATAGTGCCGTCCTCCTCTCCACAATCACCTTTATCAACACGAGACGCGGGGGCCATGCGTGTTGGCGGTAGCTCGAGCTGACAGCTCAGGTTGTACAAGCAGAAGGAAGCAACGCGTGATTCGGTGAAGGTACGGAAGTCGTCCGCCTCACCGACCTTCACTGAGACCCTCCCCGGTACCTGCTAGTGGCATCGCTGCTATGGCGCCGTCGATAGGCGTTCTAGCAGCAACGTACTCGGCAAAACGGGTCCCGTGACGCTGGCGTACGCCTGCAGGCTGCACGACGTGAAGAAAGCAGTAAGGCGGCAGGCGGATGGTTGCGAGACAGGGTGGGAAGAGCGAAGTGAGGTAAGTACGCGGTGTGTGTAAGGCGCAGCAAACAACTCTCTGCAGACATCCATACACATGATGGATGGATGGATGGATGGCTTCCGCTGCAGACCTAGTCCGGCTGTGTAAATGTAGGCAGACAGCCATTGCATGGTGCAGACGGCACCTTAGCCACCATGAGACGCGTCCGCGGCGCAATAGGCATCAGCCATGATTATCAGCGACCGTTTCGGGACAGCTGCACATTCCAAGACTCTCCAGCGTAGCAACGCGTCTTCTGAGGTCCGTACGGGCGTACAAGCCCCTCGGAGCCGCCTCTTGATCCCGGAGCGAGCGTCGATATGACAGGTCACAAAGCCCTCGGTGGACATTTGGTCGTCAACGTAGCAACGTCGAGGGGTCCGGCCCGGTATAGAGTGTGAGTGGTGCGAGCCGAGAACCGATCTCCTTGTCTCGAAGCCCGGAGACACTAGTCTGAGTTGCCTGATCCAGAAACCCGTGCTGCAAGAGCAAAAACGTGTGGCGGAGAGCCGGGCTTCGCGGTTGGAGGGCACGGTACTCTGACGGAGCCATGGGCCTGATGTAAGTAGGCCGCCTTTGCAGTGTGGCGACTGGTGAGAGGTGTGAGTCTGACTCGACTGACAGAATTCCTTCCGACGGCGTTGGTGGTGTCAGACTGGATGATAGTGATAGTGGCGGGAATGAGTACAAGACAGGGCCAGACACACGGGATGGGTTCGGGGCATGATGTGAGGTTATCGTGAAGCTCACTCGGCGCCACAGCGCTCGGCAGCCCCCTGCTCCGGCCGTCCACGGGCGGGTCGAAGCCGAGGCCCCGGGGCGAGTGCCAAGACGGCGGCGGCGGGCCCATTTAGAGGGGCTACTTCGGACGAAAGTAAAAGGGAAACGTCGAGAGAGGTGGACGGAATCTGGTCATAACGGGCGCTGCATGGCTTGATGGCGGGCGCTACAGAGAGAGACATGAAGCCGGTGTTTGGACGTGGTTGACTCTGAAGTCAGACCGTACGCTCCTCGAACCGCGACCATCTCCACAAAAAGGGGGTAGGGGGCGGGATGCTTCGTCCTGAGATGAAGCTTAACGGCAAGGGCCCTACCCTCATATCCTATAGTACCATCCGTCAGAACCATTAGGCATATTATAGGGTATAGCTGGGGGGTTAAACGTCTGAGTCGTCCGGCGTTGTGAGGCCAGGTCTTCAGCCAGGATGGGCCGGCCACATCAAAAGACATTGGGTTTTGGAAGTTCGCTTGCGCATGGAGAAATGGCGGGTTGTTGGCGCGTGCCTTCCGCACAGTAATGCCTCGACTACGGTAATATTTGACCGATATTAACATCCGTTGCGCAATGACACAGACGAACACACGCACAAACTCCATGAGCCGTCGTTTCGCGACGGCCACAGAAGGGAGTGAAGGACTCGAACCGCAACACGCCTACCACACACACCCTTGAAGCACGTTGCCATAACGGGTTTGACTTGGCTAGGGCGTGCTTGAATAGCTAAAGCTTGGTTTCGGAGACGGGAACGGGGGTTTCAAGGCTACGGCATTGTAAATTAGCACCCCTGCTCGAGATAACTATGGCAATGTGACCTGGATTTCCTTCTTGGGTGTATGTACTTTACCTCTGACTGCCAGAAACCTCGTGTGTAAGATACACCACCCGCCGAATGCTGCATGGCCGCGAAAGGAAGTTGCGATGGGTGGTAAGACGACAATCCAATCCCGAGAAGGAACCCTGGAATCAAACCCCTCCCAGAAAATTATTCCGACGAATGGTGCAAGCCCCGCTCGTCGCAATTAGCTACGACTATACTCCGTACCTATACTCGGTACGATGGATTGGAAATCCCTCGCACAAGAATAGCAGCGGCACTCGGCATCTAGCTCCGCAACACACGCGCACACAGACACAGACATCGCGTGACACTATCAGGCTGCCGTGGGGGAGGGGGCAGACAGCCCAACTAGGTAGGACAACATCATACGGGACTTTTTATTCCATTTTCATTTTCTTATCGCCGGCCACAGGCGACCGTGCTGTCCTATAACATTGGATTTCTCGAGGCTGCTGCACCCACCATACGATGCCATACATAGCCGCCCAGTGCTTGGAGGCAAGGTTGGAGGAATACGATACAGACATGAGTAGCGCCCAACGCTAGCCGCCCTGGTGATGCGATTTCATCCCCCCCCCCCCCCCCTGTGCATCGCGAGCCCACGACACGATGGCCTCGAGGAAGCTGCAGCTAAACCCTTGCGCCATAAGACAAGGTTAACGGGATCCTTGGCTGCCCCAGGATTCCTCTCAGCCGCACATCGCATATTCCACCGTCCTCAAACACTGCCCGCCTGCTGTTTTCAGAAAATAGATATGAGAACGTAGGGGTGGGAATTTTGCGGAGGGAAGGGTTAGGAAGAAATCGTGCGTGGAGTGGAAGGTGGGGGGGGGGGGGGGGGGCAAGCCACCTTGATCAAGTTCCCACAATCAAAAACAAAAAAAGGTAGCATCAGATATGCGCCCTTGAAAACAGGACAGGAAAGGAGTGAGATACATACACAAACTACATGGTATGGTTTACAGATGATGACGGCTGTCCCGACCAGCAGGGCCGTCTGTGGAGTGATCTGCAACAGCTGACCGGGGTTCGGGGCCCGTAGCTGAGGTACGCCGAATTGGGGTCGTATGGGAAGGGGTGGGTTTCCATTATGGGAGAGATTCCGTGTATGGAAGCCTTCTAGAAGGGCTCGCTCAGCCTTGGATGGCGAGCTCACCGTTTGATGCACGCAAGGCCATCATCCTAGTCCCGAGAAACTCGAGACGACTGCGCGTGCAGGCTCTACGTTCAGGGCAGGGGGGGGGGGATCTCGCTCGGCGTTTCGAATATTCGTAGCATGCGAGGGGCTGCGCGCTTCCCCCCCGTCTTACCGTCGTCTCTGTTGCCGCTTAGGCGCCTGGGCAGCAGTATTCCATGAACAATGGGAGATGCCCAACATAGCAACCCAACAGAGCAGTCCTTTGGGCTGTCAAGGCCCCTCCTCGTCAACCATGGCTGGGTTACTCCTGCGGCAATGTTGGAACGATGAGCATTGGGCCTCTAGCCCGCTCGTTGATGCAAGCGAGGCTGTGGACGAAATGGTCGATGCATCATCGGTTTACGGGGGGTGGGAGGGGGCTTACGCCGACACGCACGCTCCAGGGCCTTCGCAATCGGAGCACTCGTCAGGCGTCGGGTCAGGCACGACATGGACTGCCCCCTTTCCCAACAGGCTGCTTCCTAGTTTCCAGACTTCCCCGAGCCGCCATGCCGGCTCAACCTGACAAGCCGATGCTTTGTTGATACATCTAGGTACCCTGCCTAAAAGGGACGCAAGACTCCGGTGACGGTGGAAACGAGTGCGCGGACGCGGCGCTACGCGGCTCCGCCTTGTTGTTTATTGAGTCAGTACCAAAGCATAATACCAACCCGCTATAGCGTTGCTTGGAACCTTGGGAACCTGGTCCTAGACGTTGCCATTGCGATACCGACAAGCAGAGCCTGCCTGCTCGATACAACCCATCGTACGTCTGCAGACCCGCCATCGCTTGCCACCCATGGCCATAGTACATTGTATGTGCCGACTATGCCCCATTCCGACGTTGCGTTTACAGAGTATCATTGCGATCGCTAAGGGGCCACCAAATGCACTTTACGTGAGACGCGCAGGCGCCAGCACCTATTCTTGGAGGCTGGGAACGAGGCAAGAAGTGGTGCTGAACTCGGTCACCGGGGGGGGGGATTCGTCGCTAATTATTTGTTGTCGGTGGTGCCGTTCCTCGCGACCCCGGGGTCCTGGGCCATCAACGCCATCTGGTCTCTTACAACGGCTGCTCGGAACGCGTCCGCGGACGCTTGGCCGTAAGATCAGTCCGTGGAACCGATGGTCTTCGGTTTGCGGCTTGAGGCCTTGGTTCATGCACTCACCGAGTGAGAGAGCCTTGAATGGCGCTTCGGGGTTGCTTGCGTTTGCCCTTTCGACCCCAGAGGTTCGAAACCCGTCCTCCTTCATTTGCTCTCCGAGTCACGAATCCTGCCGCCATCCGTCGGGGATAGCACACAAACAATGA